TTTTATCATTATGGTTTTTCGAACACATATGGCTTTGCACCCAAAGATCACTCCTTCAATAACTATATACTAAAGCATACTTTCATAATTATCTTGTAATTAATGTGTGGATTAGGTAGATGGAAAAGGAGCAGTGGTACAGCTTGGAAGAAAAGTATTAGTAACAAGGAATGGTTTCCATTAGTGACACGTACATGATAGAAGAGGCTCTCAGTCAATTTTCATTATTTTTTACAGATTGACCAGAAAGGTAAAGGTAAAGGCCCTCCCGTTGTTCGTCGATTTGCTCGAGCGGGCCCAGTAACATCTCCATTGGAGACTTTGTTGTTACTGTGTCTGGCATATCGAATACTTCACGGGGAGCTTGCCAGGCTCTGGCGTGCGGGCGAGATCCTCTTGGTAGCTTGCCGGGCTCTCCGAGAGGGCCGGAGGAATCGAACTCGGGTCGGCCATGTTGGCTGCGTGCAAGGCAAATGCCCTACCGCTGTGCTATCGCTCCAGCCCGGCCAGAAAGATAAAACCATATTAAAATCATCAGAAGGTCAATTTTCTTTTGCTTTTAACGAGAATTGCACTTAATTTAAAACACTGACAAGTCTTATGCTGTTCAGAAGATGTGTCCTCTATTAATGCTCACTACAGTAACCAAGAGAGCTCAGTAGCGTGGAGCGAATGCTTTGCATGGAGGAGGCCTTGGATTCAATCCCTGGTACTGCATGATCCCCTGAGCATAGCCAGGACATGCACACACGTGCATGCGCGCGCACGCGCACACACACACACACATGAATACACATGAATGCACACACATACACATGCCAGCAATGAGCTAGTAGTAGTTCCTGAGTACCACCAACTGACCAAAAGCAAAAACAGAAGAAAATTATTATGGATTTTGTAGATTCTTTGACTCATACAATCCACCATGACTCAGTAAGAAGAATCTTGGGGCCAGAGTGACAGTATAGTGGGTAGGGTATTTGTTTTGCTGGTAGCTAACTGGCATCCCATATGTCCCTCAGACCCTCCAGGAATGATCGCTGAGCACAGTGCTGTTAGTAAGTCTTGAGCACCACTGGGTATGAACAAAAACAAAAAGAAAAAAAGGAGTCCTTGAAGAAAGTTAGGTTGCCTTAAACAACACAAATTCTTTATCACTGAAATATATCCTGGTTCCTTTTTGTTCGTTTTGTTAATAGGGGCCACACTCAGTGGTGCTCAGGGAAGTTTGGAACTATTCCTGGTGATGTTTAGGCCTGGTGGTGCTCAGGGGACGTTTAGGCCTGGTGGTGCTCAGGGGACCTCCAAGGCTATATTTGTGCTGTGGTGAGGATCATGTGGTTCTGGGGATTGAACTTGGGGCCATAAGCGTAGTAGGCATGTACTCGGCCTCTTGAACTACCTCTCCGTCCTTATTGCGATTTTTCTTTTTTTTTTTCTTTTTGTATCACATCCGGAGATACTCAGGGGTTCTCTCTTGGTTCTGCACTCAGGAATTACTCCTGGCAGTGCTCGGAGAACTATATGGGAAGCCAGGGGTCGAACCTGAGTTGGCCATGTACAAGATAAATGCCTACTATTGCTCTGGCCCCCTTATTATTATTATTATTATTATTTTTGCTTTTTGGGTCATATCCGGCGATGCATGGGGGTTACTCCTGGCTCTTCACTCAGGAATTACTCCTGGTGGTGCTCGGGGGACTATATGGGATGCTGGGAATCAAACCCAGGTCAGTCACGTGCAAGATAAACGCCCTACCCGCTGTGCTATCGCTCCAACCCCCATACTCCCTTATTTTTAAAAAATTATTAGAATTTGTCTTTGCTAGTATGTTAGTAAATCAAGTAGTTATTGAATATTTGCTACCTAACAGGTCTCAACAAATAAAGTCAAATAAATCCCATCAGTCTTGTTTTACCAGCTCAGGGTTTTACTGATTGTTTTTCCCCCTCCAGAATAAAATCTTAATTTCTAATTTTTTTCCCAACATTTTTCTTTCTCTTTTTACCTCAGGAGGTGGTTTTGGGGGGCTACATCCAGAAGTTGTCTTGGGCTACTGGGAGTAGCTGAGCTCTGCTCAGAACTCACTCTCAGTGGTGGTTAAGGGATCATGCAGTATAGGTACTCCAGACCATTGCGCTCCCTCTCTGGCCTCTTTAGATTTTCAAAAGTCAACTTTATCTGGATTCTTTTGCCCACTGAGAGAGTACCCTGATTTGGTCAAGCAGTGATTTTCTTTATTTTCTTAAATTTTTTTTTATTGAACCAGTAATAACATAGTTACAAAGTTGTTCATGATTGTGTTTCAGTTATATAACTCAGTTTCAGTTCCAGCACTCGTCCCACCACCAGTGTACATTTCCTACTGCCAATGGTCACAGTGTCTCTGTCTCTCTCTGTCTCTGTCTCTTTGTGTGTGTCTCTTCCCGCCTCTTTTTGGGTTTTATGGTTTGCAATACAGATAATGAAAGGTTATCAGGTATATCCCTTTTCCTACTTTCAACACTCAGTTCTTATCCAAAATGATCATTTCCAGCTATTATTGTTATGTTGGTCCCCTCTCTATCCTAACTGCCCTTTGCCCCCCCCCCACACACACACACATAATCTTTGGCAAGCCTCCAACTATTGACTAATTCTCTTGGTCCCTGTTTGCCCTGCCCTTGGATATTAGTCTCACACTATATATTATGAATCAGTCATTCTATACATGCCCCTCTCCTTCTGACTCATTTCACTCAGCATGATAATCTCCATATCCATCCATTTATAAGCAGATTTCATGACTTCATTCTTCCTAACGGCTGCATAGTATTCTGTTATGTAGATATACCATAGTTTCTTTATCCAGTTATCTACTCTAGGGCACTTGGCTTATTTCCAGATTCTGGCTATTGTGAGTAGTGCTGCAGTGAACATAGAAGTTCAGATGACGTTTCTGCTGTGAGTTTTTGGGCACCCAGGCTATATTCCCAGAAGTGGTATTGCTGAGTCAAATGGAGTTTAGTTTCTAATTTTTTTTTCTTTAATTTTTTTTTCTTTTTTGTTTATGTTCTTTTTTTTTTTATTAATTTATTTCTTTATTGAATCACTGTGGGAAAAGTTACAGAGCTTTCGGGTTTAGGTCTCAGTCATGTAAATATCAAACACATTTCCCTTTACCAATACTTATTTTTAACCGCGAACCCCAATAGAACCCCACCTCCCACCCCTCCCAATTCCTGTGAGGCAGATGAGTTCTAGTTAATACTCTATCTACTTTGACTAGATACATTTAGTTTCTAGTTTTATGAGGAATGTCCACATTGTTTTCTAAAAAGGCTGGACCAGTTGGCATTCCAACCAACAATGAATAAGAGTCCTTTCTCCCCATACCAGCACTAGTTGTTCTTGTTATTTGGATGTGTGCTAATCTCCAAGTAGTGGTTTTTAGCATAGAACTAGACTGCTAGTTACCCTAGGAAACATTTGGGCAGTTATTTTGGCTATTACTGGTATTTAGTGTCTGAGGACCAGGGATGCTCAACCATTCTATAATGTATAAAACTGTCATGTTAAAGAACTGTGATTCCCAGAATGCTAAAAGCATGTGTTAAGAAAATTTGTAAGAAGAATGTGGATATTAGAATTGGAACAATTTAGTTTCAAATCTTAGCTCACTCCCTCTGTAAAACAGGGATACTAGGATAGAATAGGCAACCTCAGTAGTATCTGAAGTTGATACACTTCTATCGCGGCATTTATTTTAGCAAACATGATTTCACTCACTTCAGAATTAGTGATGAGTTTGTGCAATACTACTTTTTATTAAGTAGATAAATGAGATTATGTTTGTAGATTACTGTAAGGGGTTTTTTGGTATGTTGTTTTGGCCACATCCAGTGTAGTTTAGGGCTAACTTCTGGCTCTTTGCTCAGAATCTTTCCTGGTGATTCTCAGGGGACCTTATGTGGTACTGTTGTGAATAGTGCTGCAATGCAAAGCAAGTGGCAGTCCAAACCAAGTTGAATGTGTGCATTCTCTCTGGCTCCTGTAAGGATTTTTAAAAAGTAGTGATTGCTGAGCTGGAGAGGTAGTTCAGTGAATTATGAGCAATCCAAGAGTGCATTCTTTGCATGCAGGAGGCGTGGTTTTGATTCCCAGCACTCCAATGTTCCCCCAAGCACTGAGCCAGAAGTAACCTGAGCATTGCTGAGATTAGTATAAAAAATAAGACCAAAGAAAAATAGTCCTTGCTATTAAATATTGTTTTACTGTCCCAGTACCCTTGGAATTATTTACATCTTATCTCTGTTTTAATTCTCTCCTTGCTATAGTTTTAATTTAAAAAAAGCTAGCTTAGGGTAGCTAAAATAGACTTTATAAAGGAAAAAGGGGTAGGTAGGGTGCTGCTATTCTCTATAAGGCTTAAGTAATTTTTTTGCATTGGGTAGAGGGTCTGGCTGTTTTCACAGGAATTTATGAAAAGCTGAAATGGGAGCTAGAAGGAAAGAGATTTACTGAGTACACTGTGAGCGTTATGGGCAAGACTGAAGAGAGTAGTCTGCCATGGGGTTGGGCACTAGAGGGGGAGTTGCTGCCATTTGTTTTTAAAGTAGGCTGTATTCCCTTCTGCTAGAGGGAGCAGTGTGTTCTTCAGCAACAGGATGGGTGATAGACAATTCTTTCTTTTCATTTTTTTCCTCCTTATAGTGCTGGAGATTCCAGGGCCTCTCATAAATGTGGGGCATATGCTCTGTTGCTAAACCACATCTCTGGCTCTCGAATTTAATAATTTTTTCTTTTTTTGGTTTTTGTTTTTGGGCCATACCAGTGATGCCTGAAGGTTGCTTCCAATCGTGCTGGGGGACCATGCAATGCCAGGTATTGAACACGGGCCTCCTGTGTGCTGGTCATAAACTCAACTGATTGAGCTACCCCTCCAGCCCAGTTTTTAAATGATTTAAAAAAAAAAGTATGAAGTGGTTGACACTAAAGGTGAGAAATGCAATCGTTTCAGGTTCCAGTGTGATTCAGAAGAGCAATTCCTTGGGGACTGAATGGCAGACCCCAGTTGTCTCCGAAGCCTTCCGGAGCCGCTTCAGCCGGTGTTCAAGTGTAGCTGACAGTGGAGATACAGCCATTGGCACGTCATGCTCAGATATTGCAGAAGGTAGGTTTGAAATAATAATGATTTGGTAGCCATGTCTTATTGTTTCATTTTGTATCTATGTATTCATAAATAGTTCTTTAAATCAAGAGAACCTGTTTGATTTTTTTTTTTGTCTGTTTTTTGTTTTGGGGCCACTCAGTGGTGCTTAGGGTTGGTTTGATCCAGGTTCTGAGTTCAGGGATCACTCCTGACAATTCTGGGGGCCACCATCTGGGGAGCTGGGATCAAACCCAGATGGCCCATGTGTAGGGCAAGTGCCATAACCGCTGTGCTAATTGTTCTGTCCCCTCTGCTTGATTATTACCCTCTTCTTCCTCAGAGTTGATCCTATTCTCTCTATTTTGACTGTTTTTTTTTTTTTTTTTTTTTTTTTTTTTTTTTTTGTAGCTGGAGTGATAGCACAACAGGTAGGGTGTTTACCTTGCACACAGCTGTCTCGGGTTCAATTCTTCCGTCCCTCTCAGAAAGCCCGGCCAGCTACTGAGAGTATTCCTCCCGCACGGCAAAGCCTGGCGAGCTACCCATGATGTATTTGATACGCCAAAAATAGTAGCAACAAGTCTCACAATGGAGACGTTACTGGTGCCCACTAGAGCAAATTGATAAACAAGGGGAGGACAGTGCTACAGTGCTTCTACCTGAAATAACTTTTTTTCCCTGGTTTTTGGACCCACTTGGCAGTGTTCAGGGGCTACTGCTAGCTCAGTGCTCAGAGGTTGTTCCTGGTGATACTTGAAGGGGACCATGTGCTGGGATTTGAACCCAGGTCTCCTGCATGCAAAGCATGTGCTCCAGACAATTGAATTCTCTCTCTGGCCCTTTGAAATAACTTGTTTTGGGGGGATGGGAGAATGATTAAATCACACCTGGTGGTACTTGGAGGCTCTTCTGACTATACAGGGAACTTTGCTGTACTAAAACCGAACCTGGGTCTCCTACATGCAAAGAATGCTCTTAGCCCTGAAATAAATAATAGTTTTTGGGACTACAGTCACCAGTGTTCACTATTCCTAGGACCAGGCTATTCCAGGCTTGTGCTCAGGGGTCACTCTTGGCAGAGCTTGGTGAAACCTGAAGCTGGGGATCTGTCCATTAATACATGGACCAAAGCACGTGTTCCAGCCCTTTGGGCCCATATCCCTGACCCCTTAGTCTTTTGCTGGGGATAAGCGCATGACCTCACACTCCCTGGGTGCTCTCTAAACTATTGAACTGTTTTCTGGGCCCTTTCTCACTGGGGATCCCTAATAACAGAATGTCAGGATTGCCTCAACTTCTGGGGTTTGAAGTCTGTCTTTCATATATGTAAGTTGTGATTGCTGGGAATCACAACCATCAGGACTTTCCATGCCACTTTCCTGCATGTGGCAACACTGGGGGCATTTTCTTTGTTTTTCAATTTATTTTTTATTGAGTCACCATAAGATACACAGTTACAAAGCTGGGGTTTTCACTGATAACCTAGTACTTTGCAAACAAGCACTTAGTGCCGTTAAACCATTAAAACTGTATTCTTGTTCCCTGTACTTAAGTTTTTTCAAAAACCCAACAATGGGTGACAGGGATGTGGCTCAGTGTAGAATGTAAGCCTTCATGCATGAGGCCTTGAGTTCAATCCCCAGCACTAAAAAATAAAAAGGAGGTAAATCCATGATGGAGAGTTTACCCCCTGTTGGGGTCGGAGAGATAGTACATCAGGTAGAGTGTTTGTCTTGCACAAAAGTGACCCGGATTCAATCCCCAGCATTCTATATATGGTCTCCTGTGTAATCACGAGGTGGCTAGGGAGCCCTGGCAGTTCTCTCTCACTGCTTGTGTTTAGTGATTTCTGGCCACTTGCCCACCTGGGACGGCCAATGCCATGAGCGGACGAAGGAGGAAACAAGGGCCAAGCTGGTTGTTAATAATTTGCTGTTTATTCTGTTCTCCCCCCGCGGGAGAACAGAATAAATGCACCTGTTCCAGCTTCTCTAAGCCCCACTTTCTAGTTTCACACTGCCCCTAATTCCCATCTCCTCCTGTCTCTCCCACTCATCTCTCTCTCATCTCTCCAGCATTAGAAATCCTCCTTGCATTGGAAGTAGCACAATCTACATATCAAAAGCCTTTCCTGATTGCCCATTAGGCTGGGGGGGTACCACCTAGGGGTGTTTCTCCTCTCCTTGGTTCAGTAACTTAATTAACATCTTAATTATCTTAATTCTACTTCTTAATATTAGTTATTTTTGTATGGACACAGTAAGAGATACATTGAGGCTTGAGGCTTGTAGGGTGGCTCTCGGGGGGACATCTCGCTGTAGATCTCAGACTACAGTGCTCAGGCCAGATTAATCTTTCCTAACCCTAGCAGAGTCCTAATCTAGATGTTACTTTTTGGATCATGACAGAAATTGTCCATGACCATGCTCTTATAGTTAAGCATTATGGTACTTTGGCCTGGCCCATTTCGATGCCATCGTAGTTTGCATCTGGGACCCTGCTTTTGGGGTGCTAGGAAGTAAGGGCAGTTGAGGTTTAAATTGAGAGAGCAAATGCCCAGAAGTGAGTATCATTCGGAGTCAGTTAACTCCCAAGTTAAAAAAGCATAGCATTAGCCATCTTTCTGTGTCTATACAAAAAGGACATTGCTCTGAATTAACTATAGAAAGGACTTAAGGAGACGAGAAAAGCAGTATTTACAAGAGTCTGATTAGGAGATTAAGGTAATTGGCCTGTTGGGGAAACAGTACAAAGAAAGAGGTTACAGATCAACACAGAGGAATGGGAGCACTGTGATGGGAGTGACCCAGTAAACCTGAGCACCTTGTGGCAAGGCAGAAAGGACAAACCAGCGTTATCCTACAGTTTTCCTAACACTGCCAGGAGTTAGTTCCTACAATTCCTGAGTGCAGAGGCAGGAGTAACACCCCTGAGCATCTTGGGTATGACATCCCCACCAAAAAAAAAAAAATTTTTTTTTCCCCTGTTAAATTCATTAACTAAATTTAACTCAGATCTTTTGTTTTTGCTTCGGGGCCACATAGGGCTGTGCTCAGGGCTTTTTCCTGGCTCTGTGCTCAGGGGTCACTCCTGATGGGGGACCAAGGATTGAGTCCTGTAAGGCAAGCATCTTATGCACTAGACTACCTCTCTGGCCCCCAGCCCTTTTTTATGTGTATCCTTTGTTTTAGGTTTTACTTTGTTTTTGTATTTTGGCTATACTTGGCAGGGGCAACTCCTGACTCAGTGATTGAGGAACCATATTGTACTGGGAATCAGACCCAAAGCTCCTGCATGTTTTTTTTTTTTTTTTTAAGGATCTAAGTCAGTGTTTCTCATAGTGGACAGTACTGTTGGGGTTTGGGGGAAAACACACACTGGAAATGATCCAGAGAGCAGTAATAGTTTTGGCTACAGTTGGGGAGGACTTTCTGTTTTTCACTTAAGGAAGGTTTCCAGGGAGCTGTTGAGCAATTTAAAAAAAAATTTTTTTTAATGTAAAAGGGGTGGTAGGGTGGTAGGGGCCAGAGTGGTAAGATAGTACAGCAGATAGGGTATTTGCCTTGCATGTGGCCAGCCTGGGTTTGATCCCCAGTATCCTATATCATCCTCCAAGCTCTACCAGGAGTGATTCCTGAGTGCAGAGCAGAAGTTACTCCTGAGCACCACCAAGTATGAGCCAAAATTTAAAAAATAGGCATGTGGGTAGTGGTAGGGCCAGAGAGATAGTACAGAGGTTAAGGCACTTGCCTTGCATGTAGCTGTGACCACAGGAATAATCAAATCCTGGCACTACATGTGGTCCTCCAGCACCAGCAGATATGGCCCTTGAGCAGAGGTAGGAGAAACCCAAGGAAAAAAGAAAGGAGGGGTGGTAGACCAAATAAGTTTGGGAATCTGATCTAAGGTATATTTTCTAACCTATTTGTTATATACCATGGTCTTCATCTTTTTTTTTAATGGGCATACCTGGCAGTGATCAGGGTCAAGGACCATATTGTGTCGGAACCCCAACCTGGTTCATAGGCACAGCCACATGCTAGGCAAAGGCCTTAACCCTTGTACTTTCTCTCCAGTTTCAGTGACCTTATCTTAATTCTTGCTCATTTTTGTTCATGGGTCCCACTAGGTTTATTTGAATCCCAGTTGATAACCCTTCTGACTGGCATAAAATGTATTTTTTTATTATATCTTTGTAGCAAATTCAAGACTTAAGACACGGAAGATAAGCACTTTATCCATTGATCTATCATCTTCTTAAATATTTTTGTGTTTTTGTTTTTAGGCCATACTCAGCAGTATTTTCACTCCTGCTTTGAGCTCAAGGATCACTCCTGGTGCAGCTCAGGAGACAGGATGGGGTACCAGGGATTGAACACTGCGTGGGGGCAAGGCAAATGCCTTACCTAATTAATGTACTGACTCTGGCCCCATGTTAGCAGGGAGAAGAATCTGATGAAAGGGGATAGAGGTGGATGCTAGAGAGATCAGAAAACTTTGAACTCTTTAGTGAAAGCTACCATGCTTATAAAACTAGCAAGGGATATAGTGTTATATCCCTGATCAGAATTTAGTATTAATCAAGTTTTCCCCTTACCAAGAAGGAAGGTTTGAGTTAGGTTTTCAGTTAGGCGGGAGAATGGCAGATGTGTGGGGCGAAAGGTATAGTTGAAGAGAGAAGAGAAATTTGAAGATAAACCTTAAAGTTCAAAAACCTGATGATTTGAAAATGTCCCTAAATAAAAATTATATATTCTATACCCTGTCATTGTCACTGTCCTCCTGTTGTTCATCGATTTGCTTGAGCGGGCCCAGTAACGTCTCCATTGTGACACTTGTTGTTACTGTGTTAGGCATAGCGAATACGTCACGGGTAGCTTGCCAGGCTTTGCCATGCGGACGAGATACTCTCGGTAGCTTGCCAGGCTCTCTGAGAGGGGCGGAGAAATCGAACCCGGCTCGGCCAGGCTGGCCATGTGCAAGGCAAATGCCCTACCGCTGTGCTATCGCTCCAGTCCACAATCTATACGCTAAATTTTTAAGTCTTTGAAAATTATAGAAGATGGTGGCTCTTTTGAAAATAAATGTTGCTGTTTTTGTTTTCTTCTCCATCACTACATGCATAATTTAACTTAACTCATTACCAGCCCTTATTAACTCTATCATTTCCATTGTTGTGTCTGTCGCTCCTGGTTGTCTTAATTTTGTTTCAAAAAGTTTGAGTTAGAGATTTCAGCTCAACAGATTGAGCATATGCTATGTATACAGGAGCCTCAGATTTGATCCCTAATACTACATGGTCCCCTAAGTATAGAGCCAGGAGCAGTGTCCCTACTTATCACCCCCAGCACCACTGCATGGCCCCAAATCCAAAACATTCCAGAACATTCACAAGCTAAACTTAATATTGTAATTTTAGCATAGTGTCAGAATCATGCAGTTTCCTTAATAGAAATAAGTGATATTTTCTGGGCTGGAGTGATAGCCCAGTAGGTAGGGCATTTGCTTTGCACACAGCAGACCTGGCCGACCCGGGTTCGATTGCTCCACCCCTCTCGGAGAGCCAGGCAAGCTACCGAGAGTATCAGCAAAGCCTGGCAAGCTACCTGTGACGCGTTCGATATGCCAAACACAGTTACAACAAGTCTCGCAATGGAGACGTTACTGGGCCCGCTCGAGCAAATCGATGAACAACGGGAGGACAGTGCTACAGTGCTTAAAAAGAAAAGGAGGGGTGGTAGACCAAATAAGAAAAAGCATAATCACCATAGATGTATTGCTAAGAAAAAGCATAATAGCCATAGATGTATTGCCTTTAAACAATTTTTAATTAAAAAAATTTTGACTTGCTCTTCAAGCCTGTGTTCTCTCTTGAACACATATCTTGCTTGCTTGTCTCCATCTTTGCTTACCTGCTCCCACTCTCAAGAAGCATGTGTTCTATCTTGAACATGTACTTTTCTCTTTCTCTCCCCTCATATTCTAATTAAGTTTCAATAAAAATTTTATTGCTTCACACAAAAAATTTATTACACCATGGCTTATAGAGTTGTTCATATAATAGAGTTGTTTCAGACATAGTGTTCAACCATAATCCTGCTACCACACCAATGCGAACTTCCTTCTACCAGCGTTCCATCCCAAATCCTGCCCACTTAGCAGGACAAACAAATTTACTTAACATTGCTTGTTAGAACACAATGGCAAATGGGACAAAAACAGATCAATAAAAGTGAATTTATAATTATTATATCTCACAATGGTCATTAAGGATTTCTTGTGCTGGTTGGTGCTGGTTGAGCCCTCTATTACTGTTTCACTCACTGAGCTTCTATGCAATGCAACTTTCTCATTCAATTTACTGTTGCTCCTACTGGGCTGCAAGTACTGTGAAATTTAGGGAAGAGCTTTATGAGGTGGAGCAGGGCCATTTTTATGGCAGAGGAAATCAGGTGTGGCAGCTGCTTGACCTATTCAAAAGAGGCTTTTTAGATATATTGCTTTCACTAGAAAATTAGAAAAAAGCATTCTCCTGAATCAGTGTTTTTTGTTTTTGTTGTTTGTGGAGAGGACCAACCCTGGCATTGTCCCAGACTTCCTCGTGTCTCTCTGCTGAGGGATTATTCCTGGGGGTGCTGCTTTGCTGGGTATCACACTGAGGCTGGCCTCATGCAAGACAAGTGCCTTAACCCATGTATTACTCTAGAGTATCTAGTACTCTATTTATTTATTTGTTTATTTATTTACTTATTGATGTCGGTTTTAGTAATACTTAGGTTGTTACAGACTCAAACTGAATTTGCTGAGTTGTAAGAGTGCAGCCATAAATGAAGAAGGAGGTGTCAGCATAGTTGCTATGAAGTATATACTCCAACCCTTTGAAATATCTCACCTGGCTCCCACCAGTGTTTTTAATTAATTAATTAATTTTGGTTTTGGGCTACACCCAGCAAGCACCTTACCCAATGTATCCTCTCTCTAGTCCCTCCCACCAATATTTTTAAAGAGCTACTTATAAACCCATATTAGATTATGGTAGTTGAACTGTGCTCATATAATTCTGGGAAAGGTTATAGTACGTGCCTCCATTAGCTGATAGACTTTATGTTGTAAAAAAAAAAAGATGGTTCGTGTGTTTAGTTCAGTAAACATTTTGGACACTGATATATAGAAAGACATACACATTCCTTTCCCCTTAACTCTGCCTACTGAAGATACAGGTATGTTTCCTCACAGTGCTTTTTTGTTGCTTGTAGCCAACTATCCTTGCTCTCTGACCTTGTAATTCTCTTTTGTGCAGCACTTGAAAGTTGGAAATACATAGAAATGGAAACTTCTATAGTAGGGCTAATGAGAGAGTTGTCTTTCAAGATTAGGCAGGAACTTAGGTTCAATTTGAAGGAAAAGTGAAAAATCCTAGTTGGACTGTGCAGTCAAACCATAAATGCTAACACTGCAATAAACATGTTAACTACAATAACAGTAAAGAAAAAAATTAATTCTGAATCAAGGGGTGAGATTTAAAATATAAAATATAGAGGATTTCACTGTATGCCACTTGAGAGTGTTCCCTTTGCTAGAATGAAATCTGAGAGTTACTAAGAATAACTTCACATATCCAGGCAGTCTAGTCTGGCCTGTGGGAGAGAGAACAAAATCCTGATTCAGATGTACTGCCTGCCCTGGATACACTGAGCAGCACTATTCAGTTTGCCTTATTCTTCAGATAGTTTAGATTCATTACTCACCTTCACTGGAAAATTTTGGAAGTCACAGAGGATTTTGGCACCCTTGGAAACAACATATTTATTAGATTGGATTGTGGCTTAGTGTCACCGAGCTTCCAGAAAAGTGGAACCTAATCCATTTCTCTTAAGTAAGTGACTTTTTTTCTTTAGTTTTCAGCCTTACTGGTTTTCTGGGTTTTTGATTTTACTCAAATACAGAGGAAAGTATATAAGTTAAAAGTGGAGCAGTATTGTGTTTAGTTGGTTTACCTTGTGAAATGACATTTGAGATCCTAAGACACACATCTCTCAATTAGGCTGCTATGTCTTTCTGCCTGATAATTGTGATGATGGTGCCCTTTCTGCCTAATCTGAGGACAAGCAGGGAATGGTTGGCATTGCAGCCAAACTCAAGAGCTTCAATTTTGGTTTATGGAAGATTATTCTCTCCACAGATTTTTGCAGTTCAAATAGCAGTCCTTCTTTCCAGCCCATCAAAAGTCACGTAACCATTCCAACAGCCCATGTGATGCCTTCTACTTTGGGGACCTCTCCTGCCAAGCCAAATTCTACACCTGCTGGACCTTCTTCCAATCTGCCTTTGTCAGGGTTAACTGAAAATGTGGGAATGATAAGAAATGGGGATCTTGGTGCACTTAAACGTTCTCCAGGCCTGTCTAGAGACATCATGTATCTTTGTGGTACTGCCGGAGAAAATGGAATTGAACAATCCTGGTTTCCAGCAGTGGGCCATGAAAGAGAAGAAGTGAGGAAATTTGATATTCCCAATATGGAATCTACCCTCAATCAGTCGCCAATGACGGAGACATTTTATTCTGATCCCCACTACCGAGTCCACTTTCACAATCCAAGAACCGACACAAACAAGGATTTGTACAAAGTGTTGCCTGAGACCAAGAAAGCACCAGGCAGTGGGGCAGTATGTGAACGGAATGGACAACACCCTAATGGCAGTGGAGTGCTCCCTTTGGGCCTCCAACCTGCTCCTGGGCTTCCAAAGCCTCTTCCTTCTCAGGTGTGGCAGCCGAATCTTGATTCTTGGCATCCCCGGGAGCGATCTTATGAGCTTAGCACTTGTCGTCAGCAGTTGGAGTTGATCCGTTTACAAATGGAACAAATGCAGGTAGAAGACCCTTTTTTCCTTGGATTTTCAGTTTCTCTGCAGGTGTTGGAATCATGTATATGTTAAATCCTATAATTTGACTCAAAAGAAAAACATCTGTAAGAAAGAAACATTTGTAGATAGGAGATGAAGATTTGTGAATTTAGTTAAATCTATTGGTAGTCTAAATAGAAGATAGGTCCTCCAAAGTATAGAAGGTTACAAGGAAAAAGCTAAAAGAACATAGGACACTAACACTGTATTTAAGTGCGTATGGCTCTAGGTTAGTTGTTGAATCTTTATTAATCCTTAAAGCCCCCCTGAGGAGGAAAATGTAAAATTTTGCTAGCTTCTTTGACTAAGCAGTTTATTCAGGTTGACAGAGCTGGTATGTGGCAGGATTAGGATTTTAAAAACTTTCTTTGGGGGGTTGAAAGATAGTACAGCAAGTAGGGCACTTGCACGTGCTAAAACAGGTTTGATTCCTGGCATCACATATGATCCCCAGAGTTTGCCAGGAGTGATCCTGTGTACAGACCAGGAATAAGCCCTGAGCACAGCCGGGTCTGGTCCCCAAAGCAAAAATCAAAAAAATCCTTCTTTGAACGACTTTTGTTTTAAAAAGTTCTTACATTCCTTAAGAGTAGAAAGGAAGGAAGCTGAGCATAGTTGTTTTTGTTGGTAAGGACACCTTAATTTCTGGTTTGCCTCTGTTGCCATATAATAAAAGTTAATTGGCCTTTTCTTAGAAACTGGAGCCTTTCTGAGCAGGGAGTGTCCAGTTGGCAGAAGTCTCTATGGCAGGTTTTTTCCAGTCATGCATCAGAGCTAAAATTATTTCATGAACACTGGGCCGTCTCAGTTTGAGCCAAAGGTGGGTCTTGACTGCAAACTCAACTGGGTACTATTCAGGTGTTTTTAGGTACATTTGGGCCAAGGTTAAGCCACTGTGAGCCTGCTTATGTTCACTTTCGGATGGGTAGATAGGGTAAGAACAGGGCTTACTCCTGTATCTTTGCTCAGGGATCTCTACTTGTACTGGGGATCAAACTAGGGTCAATCACGTGCAAGGCAAGCACCTTAACCCCTGTGCTGCCCTCTGGCTTATCTTTTTCAGCTTCAGAATGGAGCCATCTGCCACCATCCCACTGGTTTTGCTCCTTCATTGCCAACCTTAGAACCAGCACAGTGGATCAGCATCTTAAATAGTAATGAACACCTTCTGAAGGAAAAGGAGCTTCTCATTGACAAGTAAGAGGGCAAAGGTTGCCATCGAGTTAGCCTCTGTTCTATTAGCCATGACTGAGAATAGGTAGTAAATTTTTCCTCCCTTTGTTTAGGCCCTAATCTTGCTTAATTGTCAAGCTGGAGTGTTAAGCAGTTCAGTTCTATATCTAATATGATAGGCCAGTTATCTCTGCAGGGATTCATTGTGGGGTTGGGGAGGGGAGGTTAGGGTTAACATAAAGGGCACGGTTGTTTGTTTGTTTTTTTGCATCAGATCTTCTTATTTTCTGTTTATTTATATTTTAGGGTCACACTCAGCAGTGGTCAGGAGATATTCCTGGTTCAGTGCTTGAGGGTTACTCCTGGCTGTGCTTTGTGGGGGACCATGTAGTGCTATGGATTGAACCCAGCCCTCTTGAGGAGTATAGTTTATCAGCCCATTGAGCTAGTTCTCTGACCCTGCATATTTTCTTTCCTTTTTTTATTTCCCCTGAATCAGCTTTCTCATTTCTCTTCCTCCCAGAAAAAAGCTCATAGTCTTGGCTAATATATAAGGGTTGTACCTACCTAAGGAAAATAAGATTTTGTATTGCAAAGGGTTAATGTCAGAATCCAGGACCTTACTCTACTAACTTTTTTAGGCAGAGGAAACACATTGCTCAGCTGGAACAGAAAGTGAGAGAAAGTGAACTACAAGTCCACAGTGCCCTTTTGGGTCGCCCTGCCCCCTTTGGGGATATCTGCTTGCTGAGGCTGCAGGTAAGCATTGGTAGCCACAATGGCATTCTGCTTGTCAGAATTCAGTATCTTCATTGTGCTTGACAATGTTAGGAATCATGGAAGTAGAAAAGGGACCAACGGTTTAAGTTATACCTGCTGTCAAAGAGTAAGCACCCTAATAATAAAGCATATTTTGTTCTGACCTTGCAGGGGCAGAAAAGATTAAGAGTAGAAACAGGTGGTAGTCTAGACGCCTTGGTGTCAGGCAAGTATGGAAGAAAAAGCCAGGCAGAGAAAGTACATAATCAGGTCTAAGAACTGGGTGATGATCTGAGTCAGAATCTACCAGCCAAGGCATAGGTAACAGGTAACAGATGTGTTCACATTTTTTAAAAAAGAAAATGTTTATTCTTTTAAGTGATACTCAGCAGGTTATTCCTGGTTTAGGACTCAAGGTTGCTTCCTGTGGTGCTCAGGGGACCTTGCGGTGCCAGGTTCCTCTGCGATACAAAGCTTGTGGTCCAGCCCATTGATCTATCTTTCTGAGTCCTAAAGTAAAACTTGTTTATTATCAGTAAATATTTGATTTGATATTTTTTGTTAGTTTTGGGGCCACAGCTGACTGTGCTCAGGGCTGCTCCCAGTGCGCTCAGGAGATGGTGTAGTGTCAGGGATTAAATCTGATCCTCCTGCAAGCAGAGTTTGCACTCCAGATTATTGAGATCTCAGGCTGCTGTATACCTATTTTTATACCTAAATATTCAGGGTTGCATAAAAACTAAGCAAAGCATGATTGCATGTAGAAAAGTATATAAGCAGCCATTTTTAAAGCACCGATTCTGAAATGTGAGTTAAATCGAAATGTGAGTGCAACAGAATACTGGAGGACTTGGTAAAACTTGGTATTGTTGGTACCAGCCCTAGAAGTTCTGATTCAATGGGAGTTAGGATCAGAAATTTGTATTTCTAAAGAACTACCTGGTGCACTGGAGAGGTAGTATAAAAGGATAGATACTTGGAATGTAGCCAGCCTGGATTTGAGTCTCCAGCACTGCATACTGTTTCCCAACCATCACTGGGCGGTTTAGTCCTGAGTATTAGTTCTGAGACAGGACTAGCCATTGAGTACCACTCAGTGTGGCCCAAAAACAAAAACAAAAAAAAAATCTAAGGTGATGTCAATGTTACTAGTCCAAGAACACACTTTAATATCACTATGTGAAGAATTATTTAGCGAAAGATCACAAAGTGTGCTAGGGATAGGTTAAGTACATATAACTGATGGTAAAGAACAGTTATATATGGAGAATCTTTCTGGCAGGAATTACAGCGAGAGAACACTTTCTTACGTGCACAATTTGCACAAAAGACAGAAGCCTTGAGCAAAGAAAAGATTGAACTCGAAAAGAAACTCTCTGCTTTGGAAGTTGAAGTCCAGCTCATCAGAGAATCACTCAAAGTGGCACTGCAGAAGCATTCAGAAGAGGGGAAGAAACAGGAAGAAAGGGTGAGCTAAGGAACTGATTGCTCTAATTCACAAGGGAATTTGGCATGAGTCCTTTCCTACCAAAACCTAAGCAGTTTGTGTTTTCATTACTGGAACCAGGAAGAACTAATGAGGGGACACCTGTTGGTTTTAGAATTTCTCCTTTCTGTTTCATTTTCACAAACCTACCACAGAGAAGGGAAGTTGTATACCTCACTCCCCAGGTCATGATGGGCTTTCAGGTTACCCAGGTGTAAAATCAGTCTACATCGGACAGATGTTTAATACTTAGGATAAATATATATAATTTAGTCTGGTGTCTCCTCACTCTGCCTAAAAAGTAGAGAAGAATTCCATGTGTACAGCTAGTTTTGGAGTTTTTTTTTCTACTTTTGCCAGTGCTTTTATATAACCAAGGTGTGGTTGGTTATCATGGAACAAGCTGGTTTAAAATCTTTCTGTTCTGACTATAGTTTACTCTGAAGCATTTTTTTTTATAATTTTATTTATTGAATCACCATGAGAGCAGTTACGAAGCTTTTGGGTTTAATTCTGGGTCATACAATGAAACACCGTACCTTCACCAGTGCCCATTCTCCACCACCAAAAACCCTAGTATGCCCCCATCTCACACCCTCCCGCTACCTGTGGGGCAGATGATTTCCACATTACTCTCTCTCTGCTTTGATTACATTCAATATTTTGACACCGGACCCACCATTATTATTTGGGATTTTACCCCAACATTCAGATCTGCTGAAAAGGCAGAAAACAAATAGAAAACAAAAACCATTTGTTTTCTATTCCTGATTATGAATAACATATGATGTCGTGTGGCCGCAGTAGTGGCCATGCGATTTTGAAATTCCGAGATTTTAACAGTTAAATCTGGAGGGATTTCTGCCAAAACCTGCTGGGTTCTGAGATTTGTTCCTTAGTCTCTGGGATCATGGCCCTTAAGCAGCTTGATCTGGAGCCAGAAAGGCCGTTAGTGGGCGGCGACTCGGGGTCTTGTTGGATGGGGAGGAAAGGGCTGGCTCCACCCCTATCCCATGAGGCCCCATGTGTCTCATAACTACAGGCCCAAACCTGACTGTCCAATGGCCTCTGGTGGATGGCGGCCACCAAGCTGCCAAGGGGAAGCAGGTGGAGGGACAGCACCCTTTCTAACCCCCTCGGGTGGCCTGGTGACAGTAACCGGCTGCGTGGTCCGGATGCATTTCTGCCAAAAGCTGCTGGGTTTCAAGATTTGTTTCTGAGTCTCTGAGATCATGGCCATTAAGCAGCTTGATCAGGAGCCAGAGAGGCCGTTTGTGGGAGACGACTCGGGGTCTTGTTGGGACAGGGAGGAAAGGGCCGGCTCCACCCCCATCCTGTGAGACCCTATGTGTCTCATCACTGTGGGCCCAAACCTGACTGTCCAGTGGCCTCTGAAGGATGGTGGCCACCGGGCCGCCAGGGGGAAGAGGCCAAGGCACGAAACCTATTCCCACCTGGGTGGCCCAGCGCCTGTAACTTACTGCAGGGACTGGACACATTTCTGCCAAAAGCCGTTGGGTTTCGAGATTTGTTTCTGAGTCTCTGGGATCATGGCCGTTAAGGAGTTCAATCAGGAACCAGAGAGGCCATGCCGCCAATTATATAGCTGAGTTGGAGGTGGTTTGTGGGTGTGTCTCCCACATACCTAACTTTTGGCTGTTTACTTTCTTGGTAAACTTTGCCCCAAGTATTTGGGGTCTAGCCAAAGGCACAGCAGCAATTTTGGGGTATCTGGAAGTCTGAAGGCGCCATCAGGCTGCTGATACACTCGCCTCACATGTGTAGATTGACCTGCTGGTGGCACCATACCCCCATGAAGCATATGTTCTTAAGGAATCAGTTTAGTAATGTTTAGTTCTGGATCACTTGCATCAGAATGAACTAGGATATTGATTTTATTAAAACTTAAGCTTCATAAACTTTAATGTGCTTAAGAATCACTTGGAGGTGGAGTTCACGCCCAATTCAATCAGCCTAATCAGTGGCTGAATAAATAGCAGTACTCCTACATAGTAAAGTAAGTAAAGTAAAGGCCCTCCCGTTGATCATCGATTTGCTCGAGCGGGCCCAGTAACGTCTCCATTGGAGACTTTGTTGTTACTGTGTCTGGAATATCGAATACTCTCGGTAGCTTGCCGGGCTCTCCGAGAGGGGCGGAGGAATTGAATTCGGGTCGGCCATGTTGGCTGCGTACAAGGCAAACGCCCTACCCGCTGTGCTATCGCTCCAGCCCTTCATTGTGAAGCAGAATTCACTCCTACATAAAAAAAAAAAATCACTTGGAGGCCTAGAGAGATAATACAGTTGTCTTTTACAAGGTCAACTCAGTTTTGATCCCCTTCACACCTTGGATGGTCCCCTGAGCCGCTCCAGGAATGATCCCTGAGTGCAGAGCCAGAAGTCAGACCTGAGCTCTACTGGATGTACCCTCCCCCCAAAATAAAATTAAAATGTACTCCTTTCAAATATATTCGTGGAGGGGGGAGGTAAGAGAAGTAGCACCAGGGCTTATTAGTGGCCATACTAGTAGATTGAACTTAGGGCTTCCCACATGCAAGGTAAGCTCTGCCACTGAGCTGCATCCAGGAGAGCAAAAGTCAGAATTTTTATAGCCAGAAAAAGAAGGATGAGGTCATTGTCAGATAGAAGGGAGTCACAAAGTAGAAGTGGGCAAAAGTTTTATAAATTCTTTCAAACAGGATATTTTTCTTCTTTTTGGCTTCTTAGTATGTTGACTCTTTGACCTAGTCTGGGTTGAGTTTTAAAAAACACTTTGAAATGATTTTTTCTTTTTCCTTTTTTAAAAATTAAATTATATATTATTTATATATGTATTTTTTTTTCTATCACCTTAATGTGACAAGAAGCATTATGAAATCAAGGGCTTTTTTTCTTCCCCGGAGTATACTAATACTGCTACCTAAAGTTCTTATTCACAGCTTTAAATTAACTGTTGATTGATCCCAGCCTTTCCTTGTATTTTATTAAAGACTCTTTGATTTTATTAATAGTGACAGCATTTCATTTTTCATAAAGTCATTACAGTCATATATCTCCATATATGATTGTTATATGGAGTTTCATTTCATATAGCAATGAAACTCCATATAACATGTAGCTTCATTGCTATACTATTCTCAGATTCCACCTCAGAATGCTAATCTCTTTCTGCTAAAGAGCTTTGGTTGTTTTTTTGTTTTGTTTTGATTTTTTTTTTTAAGTACCAAAGATCAAACCCAGGTCTCTGCATGCAAGACTTGCTATTTTTTTTTATTTTTTTAAATTTTTTATAGACACCACGAGGTACAGTTGTAGACTTAAAAAATTTTGTGTTTGGGTTTCAGTCATAGAGTGATCGAGTACCCATCCCTCCACCAGTGCCCATTTTCCACCACCACTAATCCCAGTATCCCTCCCACCCCCCCATCCTGCAAGGCTTGCTTTTAACACTGAACCCCATCTCCAGGCCTAAAATTTACTATTCCAGCGTTGGGGTTTTTGGTTTTTGTTTTTCTTTGCTTTTTGGGATTTACCTAGTAGTGCTCTGATGAGGTTATTCCTAACGCTGTGTTCAGGAGTGACCCATTCCTGTGCTCAGGAAACTATGTGTGGTAGCACTGTTGTCCTGTTGTTCATCAATTTGCTCGAGCGGGCACCAGTAACGTCTCCATTATGAGACTTGTTGTTACTGTTTTTGGCATATTGAATACGCCACGGGGAGCTTGCTGGGCTATGTTGTGTGGGTGGGATACTCTTTGTAGCTTGCCAGGCTCTCCGAGAGGGACGGAGGAACTGAACCCGGGTCAGCCATGTGCCAGGCAAACGCCCTACCCATTGTGCTATCACTGGGGATCAAACTCGAGTCAGCCACTGGTAATGCTTCCTCCCATCCTACCTCACTGTTCCTCTACATTGATTTTTTTTTTAACCTGTGATTTTCTGCAGTACTATTTTAACATGGTTTGAGTTAAATTACTTTTCATTTTGTTTTGAGGTCACACATGGTGGTGCCCAGGGCTTACTCCTGGCTCTGTACTCAGGAAGTCACTCTGGTGGTGCTCAGGGCACCAGATAGGATGCCAGGGATCAAGTCCTGGTTGGCCACATATAAGGCAAATGCCTTAGCACAGTGCTATCACTCTGGACCCAAATTACTTTTTAGATTATTTGAGGTGTTTTGGAAAGGAGAAAAGATAAACCCATGGTCAGTTTACTATCCTTTTTAAATTTTAATTTGTTATTTTGTTTTGGAGCCACACCCATCAATATTCAAGGTGTGCACTCAGGAATTATTCCTGGCAGTGCTTTGGGGACCAAATGGTGTGCTGGGGATCAAACCTGATGAGCACATGTGCAAGGCAGGCACCCTGCCCACTGTACTATTGCTCTGGCCCTTAAATTTTGTGTTTCTGGTGGTGGGAGATCACATCCAGCAGTGCTCAGGGGTAATTCCAGTTCTGTGTTTGGGGATTACTCCTGGCAGTGCTTAGGGGTTCATGTAGTGCCAGGGAGTAAACCTGGTCCTCCTGCATGCAGAGCAAACGGGTTTTATATTTATAGGATAGTTATCTCTCCTTCTATATTTCAGTTATTTTGGGGGGGAGAGGAAGGTAGCCCAGGAATCACTGCACTCAGGACTGCACTCTGCACTCAGGAATAACTCCTGGCAAGTTCGGGGGACCATATGTGGTGCCTGGGATCAAATCTAGATCGGCCATTGCAAGGCAAGCACCCTACCCACTGTACTATCACTTAGCCCCTATATTTGCTTCAATTCTGTGCTGATGGATCACTCCTGTGGTTCTCAGAGGACCATATCTGATACCACATTAGCTGTATGCAAGACAAACACCTTATCTCCTCTGCTGTCTCTGTAGCCCTATCCTTCAGTTTTGATATAGACAATCCAGAGGTTGGTGTCAAGCAGTTTAAGGGCATAGTTTACCATAGGACTTGCTTGTTTGCTTGAGATGCCAAGTTCAGTTCTTGGTACACCCATGTGACTGACCAGCTTTTTAGAAGTCCAGTTATTCCCATGAACCCTTTAGGTTCAGTAAGTCACCAATATGACTCAGAACTCAAAAAAATGAGTTAATTCGCAGTTTTATTATAAAGGACAGCCAAATGAAGAGACACATAGGGCACTGTCTGGAAAGATCTGAAAGCTATGTTTCTGTGCCTTCAGTTCATGGAATCAGGGCTTGTTGCCCTAACATGTTCTTGCATTCATTAACTCAGAAGCTCGTATCCAGAGTTTTTATTAAGGTTTCATTAGTTAGGCATGATTGTGCTCAGTCACTTGCCTGTGTCATCTCAATTCAAGCTCTATTTGAAAGAGATACTTCCTAGAGAGCCAGAGCAATAGTACAGAGGGTTGCCTTGCACGCATCACTGGTTTGATTCCCAGTATCCAATATGGTCCTCTGAGCTATATCAGAAGTGATCAATAAGCGCAGAACCAGGAGTAAATCCTGAGAAAAATCAAACCAAAAAAAACTACCTCCTAGAAATCTCTGACAACACATTTCTTTTTTACTACTCGAGTGCTACCAGTTTTCTTAAATTGGTCAAGGAATTCTTCCATACCATGGATTGAAAAAAGTTCTGTTGTATTACCCCAATCTCAATAGTAAAACTTGATCAGCTTCCTCCCTTTATTGAGCAGAACAATATGTATAGCCTATGGGACAGAGACAACGGTAATTTGAAAAATATTGATGTTCAGCATCTTAAAGAAGTCACTGGAGACAGCTTCTTATGTTTTCCCCATAGGTCAAGGGTCGTGATAAACATATCAATAATTTAAAAAAGAAATGCCAGAAGGAATCCGAGCAAAACCGGGAGAAGCAGCAGCGTATTGAAACCTTGGAACGCTACCTGGCTGACCTGCCAACCCTAGAAGACCATCAGAAGCAGAGCCAGCAGGTAGTAATGTCTGGGTTTATCTGGGTGCAAGCAGGGAGAGGCCAAGCAGAAGCACTTTCTCACCTCTGCAGTGTGCAGTCACCCTGTGACTTCCTGAAATGAAAACTGTAAAGGAATCATATTCAGGTTTATATGTATCAGATTTGCAACCGGACTGCAATTTTTTTTCTTTTTTTTTGAGAGATCACACCCTGCAGTGCTCAGGGCTTACTGCTGGTTCTGTACTTAGGAGTCACTCCTGGTAGGGGGTTGGGGGACCGTATGAGGATTGAACCTGGGTCAACTGCATATAAGGCAAGTGCCTACATGCTGTACTATTGCCCCAGCCCCAAAGACTGCAAATTTTTTTAGATAATGAGACAATGCTTTCTTGGCTTATTGACCTAAGCGTGGGATTCTGTTTCTCAGCTTAAGGATTCTGAGTTGAGGAGCACAGAGCTACAGGAGAAAATGTCTGAGCTGGAGAATTTGCTGGAGAAAACCCGTGCAGCCTGCAGAGAGAAGGAGGTTCAACTTGAAAGCCTGAGACAAAGAGAAGCAGAATTTTCCTCCACAAGACATAGGTAAATACCCTTCGGGGCTTGAGGAGAGGAGTGTAAAGCTTAGGTCTAGTCCTCCTTTACCCCATTTACTTCTGTGTAACTTGGGGTATTGTGAGTAATAGAGAAATTGCTATGGGCAAAAAATAATGCATTTGAGATGCAATGAGAATTGTAATGGATATTTTCAGTTGTATTCTTTGGAAGGATTCAAGCAGTACCTAGAATAATAATCACGGTCACAGTCACGGTCCTCCCGTTGTTCATCGATTTGCTCGAGCGGGCCCAGTAATATCTCTATCATGAGACTTATTGCTGTGTTTGGCATATCAAATACGTCACGGGTAGCTTGCCAGGCTCTGCCATGCGGGCGAAATACTCTCGAGAATAATAATAATCCTGCATAATTATCCTTGAGTATTAGGTGTGTTGCATAAATAGAAGCACTTTGTAAACTGAGAAATGAGTTACTTGTATATTTGTAAAAAAAAAATAAAAAGATTCTGATTGTTAGTACTGCGGGTAATCATTATTTTAAATCTTGTAAGCTAAAGGCTACTGGGAGAATCTGTTTCTCTTCAGCCCTAGGGATTGCTCTCAATTGCCACAGTTCTAAAACAAAACAGAATGTTGTAATACACTCTGGGGGTGTCTTGGAAACCTCAATATTAACTGTAATTTCTGAAAACCTATTTCAGCAGTCTCTTGGACCAAATCCAGTTTCTAATGAAATATGTTGGATTTCTCATCCCGTAGTCAATCATACTGACCTTGCTGTTTGTCTCAGATATTGGGATATGATGGAAATCATTTTCTGGGACCAACAGTTGGAGTCAGAAGCGGTGTTAGGGCACAAGTTGGCTGTGCCCCAACTATATGTGTCAAGTGCTTCTCCTCCAACTATATGTGTCAAGAAAAAATATATATTCCCTAGAATTTCTGTAGTATGTATGTAAGACTTTAAATGCTTATAATACATATGTATATATACGTATATATTTAAATCACAGCAAAGACTAAAAAAGTCTTGGACAGGTAGAGAATTGGTGGTAGAGAATATCTGAATATATACTATTTGGAATCTACATTAGATAGATTCCGAGTAGTAGGGAAGGGAACTAACATACTGAGCAGTTTCTGTGTGATGTACTCTATATACATCAGATCTAAGACACTTCCCATATATTTCATGCCAACTGTGGCTTGAAAGGGTCTAACCCCAAAATAGCCCCAACAATTCAGAACAAGTCAAAGCCACATCTCTTAAAGGGACCACTATCTTCCAGCCTGCAAGACAAGCAGTATGTGGAGAAGATCAGTGGAGAAGGTTCAACTCAACAGGAAGAAGGCTCCAAAGTGGGCATGGAGTCCTGGCAGAAAGAATGTGATTCTCTCCGGAAGGTAACTGAGGGTGTCTGGATTGTAATAAGAGTAGACTGAGGAAAAAGAGAATTTTGTATATTCAAATCCATCACAGTCCTCCCGTTGTTCATCGATTTGCTCAAGCGGGCCCAGTAACATCTCCATCATGAGACTTGTTGTTACTGTATTTGGCATATCAAGTACGTCACGGGTAGCTTTCCAGGCTCTTGCCAGGCTCTGCCGTGCGGGGGAGATACTCTCGGTAGCTTGCCGGGCTCTCCGAGAGGGGCGGAGGAATCAAACTCGGGTTGACCATGTTGGCTGCGTGCAAGGCAAACGCCCTACCGCTGTGCTATCGCTCCAGCCCATGTATTCAAAAGAAACCATAAGTTTCTCACCCTAGACCACCTTCTATCGAGAGTTGAGCTTTTCTTTTGTAGGAGGTCAGCCCTGTGTATTTTGGGTATTTTTCCTTTTGTTAGTAGAGGACATAACTCTAAATCTCCAGACCAGATGCTTCAGAAGTGATGCATATCAGGGGCTGGGGCAATAGCACAGCAGCTAAGGCATTTGCCTTGCATATCGCCAGCCCAGGTTCAATCCCTCGTACCTCATGTGGTCCCTTGAGCCCACTAGGAGTGATACCTGAGCATCACTGCGTGAGGCCAAAAAGAAAGTACATTTCATTTATGACTCAGAATCATACAGAAACTCTTAGATAGGGCTGAGTTCTAACCAGTGAGTTGGCCATACTAATCAGAAAAGGAGCTAAGGTCTGCTAATCATAAGTAAGCAAAAGAAGAAGACCCAGAAATGATTCTTAGAGTATCTTCAGTCTCAAAGGACAGAAAATAGGGTCTATTCAGATTCTCTCCTGGCAGAGTCAGTGTGACAAAAGCTATACAATCTCACAACCCTGAATAGACTAGATAGGTTAGATTACATGAAACTGAATTCTTTTTGTGGGGAAGGGATTGAAGGGGCCATATCCAGTTGTTGCTCAAGGCTTATTTTTGGAGGCCAGAGTGATAGTACAGCAGGTAGGGCATTTGCCTTGCACACAGTGTACCTGGATTCAATCCCCAGCTTCCCATAAGGTCCTTTGAGCACTGCCAGGAGTGATTTCTGAGAGCAGAGCCAGGAGCAACTGCTGAGCATCACCGGGTATGACCCAAAAAGAAGAAGAAAAAAAAAGCCTTATTTCTGGCTTTGCACTTAGAGATCACTTCCTGTGGTGCTCAGGGGACCATAGGTGGTTCAATTAGGGATCAAACCTGGGTCATCAGTGTGCAAGGCAAGCATCCTACCTGCTGTACTATCTCCAGGCTCCAGTTACTTCTTTTACCAAAGAACCAGAGTGTTTGCTGACTATAAATATATAAATAAAGTTGGTTCTTTCAGTATCTGTATTGAAAACCATAGCGCCCAAAAGGGTGGGTGGGGGGGGCAAGAGAAAAGTGCCTGCCACAAAGCATAGAGGGGGTTGTATGTGTGTGTTTGTGGGGGAATGTCGGGACGGAAACTGGGGACATTGGTGTTGGAAAATATACACTGGTGAAGGGACAGGTTTTGGCATATTATGACTGAAACCAAATAATGAATAACTTTGTAACTGTGTATCTCACTGTGATTCAATTAAAAAAATAAATTAAAATTTTAAAAATAAAAAACAAACATAAAAGTAAAGTTGGTTCAATTGTTCTACAGTGATCAGTGTCCCCATCATCCTTATTGTTAGTCATCAGACATACCATTTCTGTCTAAGCCTGTTTTGGTGACTGAGCAGAGAAGTATGAAGCTGCTTAGCCAGGATATGAAGTCCCAGGTTACATTTCTCCATACTTCCTTTTTTATGGTGTATGTTGCAGGTGGGAGGTCATTCAGGCTATACCTGGTAGCATTGGGAGACTACTTTCAGCTCCATACTTGGTGGAGGGTCACTCCCTGTGGTGCTGGGTGCTGCATCAAAGTCAAGTGCCTTCATTTCTGTACTGTCACATCATCCCAATTGATACATATTTCGGGGCTGGAGCGATAGCACAGCAGGTACAGCATTTGCCTTGCATGCGGCCGACCCAGGTTCGATTCCCAGCACCTCATATGGTCCTCCAAGCACCGCCAGGAGTAATTCCTGACTGCATGAGCCAGGAGTAACCCCTCTTCATTGCCAGGTGTGACCCAAAAAGGAAAAAAAAACAATTGATACATATTTTTATATAATTTCTGCAGCACTATAGCACTGTCCTCCAGTTGTTCATCTATATTGCTCAAGCAGGCCTAAGTATTGGTTTTTGAGTCTCTCCTGTTTCTTCTGACCCTGTGTTCTGGGGTCATTCCTGGGGTATCATATATAGTACCAGGGATCACACCAGGGCCAATAACATGCAAGGCCAGTACCTTAGGCATTGCGCTTTCCCTCTAGCATTTTTTTTAGATTATCTTCACTCTGAGTTCCCTATTGATTGGCTGGCGTCAGTGAGGGGCTAGAGAGACAGAATACAACAGTTCAAGTATTTGCCTTTTATCTTGCTCACCTGGGTTTTCAGATCCCTAGCACACATAGAAACCCTAAACACCTCCAGATATGGCCCAAAATCCAAAAAATTTTTCAAAATGATCCTACTGCAGCCTCTTGATTCCTGACCTCACCAACAGCTTTTGTTTTTTAAAACCTTCCTTGCTAATTTTTCAGATTGTGGAGAAGCAGCAGCAGAAGATGGATCAGTTGCGTTCACAAGTACAGGTGAGCTAGAGTTCTTGGGATATGATGGGCAGGACTTACTAATAGACTCCAGAATTCAGCCAGCACTTCATTTTTTTTTTTCTGTACAATTAGCTCAGTGATACAAGTTCAAGAATGAGACTCTCAGGGCTGGAGCGGTAGCACAGCGGGTAGGGCATTTGCCTTGCACGCGGCCAACCCGGGTTTGATTCCCAGCATCCCATATGGGTCCCCCAAGCACCACCAGGAGTAATTCCTGACTGCACGAGCCAGGAGTTACCCCTGTGCATTGCCGGATGTGACCTAAAAACCAAAAAATAAGAATGAGGCTGTCAATTTTATTCTGCAGTCTTAATGGGAAGGGGGTTTGGTACAGCACTGTAAAAGCAATGTCCAGGTACCCTATGTGGCTAGGAATATGTCAGAACTTTTGGAACTATAAGCTTTGAAGAAGGATGGAACAGTTAAACAGCAGAAATGATGCTAGATAGGGTTGTATTGGAATTCCAGGTCAAAGGAACAGCACAGATAGGATTATGGAGGGATGAAAAACTAACTTAAACATGCAGTTGCAAACAGTTTGACCTTGCTGAAGTGAAATGGTGAATAGAGAACTGAACTTTGGAAAAACTGTTCAACTAAGTTAGCTTTTAATCTTAGGTGATGGGAATCTACTATAGTACTTAAGTAAGATGTGACTTAGTCAGGTTTGCACCTCAGGCTAGCATGTGGAAGATGGTCACCTAGAAAGAGGCAAAGCTGACTATTATTGCAGAAATCACAGGGGGAAATGATGAAGGTACCGAGGCTAGCATAAGGCAGCTAAGCAAGGGAGATGTAAGGGGTCAGGTTGAATTGAATTTGTAAAGTAAAATTGAGAGAAATCGGTGCTGGATAGAACTTGGGAGATTAAAGGATTAAAAAAAAAAAAAGATGGCTCCTAGTTTCTGTTTTGGACCAGAATAGACATTTTCTTAATTTAAGTCTTTTATTTTTGCTTTTTGGGTCACACCCAGCAATGCACAGAGGTTTCTTCTGCTCATGCACTCAGGAATTACTCCTGGCGGTGCTCAGAGAACCATATGGGATGCTGGAAATCGAACTTGGGTCAGCTGCATGCAAGGCAAATGCCTTACCCGCTGTGATATCGCTCCAGCCCAAACCCAGTGGTTTTTTTTTTTTTGTAGGAGTATTGCTATTTATTCCAGCCATTGATTAGGCTGATTGAATTGGGCATGAACTCCACCTTATTTTTTTTTCCTTTTTTATAATTTTATTTATTGAATCACCGTGAGAGCAGTTACAAAGCTTTTGGGTTTAAGTCTCAGTCATACAATGATGAAACACCTGTCCCTTCACCAGTGCCCATTTTCCACCACCAAAAACCTCAGTATACCCCCCATCCCACGCCTTCCCCCTACCTGTGGGACAAGTTATTTCCACATTACTCTCTCTCTACTTTGATTACATTCAATATTTTGACACCAGACCCACCATTATTATTTGGGATTTTACCCCAACACTCAGATCTGCCAAAAAGGCAACAGTAGACAATTTGTTTTCTATTGCAGGTTATGATTCTGGAATTCCAAAATTTTATTTTATTTTATTTATTTTTTTGCTTTTTGGGTCACACCCGGCAATGCAGGGGTTACTCCTGGCTCTGCGCTCAGGAATTACCCCTGGCGGTGCTCAGGGGACCATATGGGATGCTGGGAATCGAACCCGGGTTGGCCGCATACAAGGCAAATGCCCTACCCGCTGTGCTAATTGTTCCAGCCCCAATTCCAAAATTTTAACAATTAAATCTGGAAGGATTTCTGCCAAAACCTGCTGGGTTCCGAGATTTGTTCCTGAGTCTAACTTGGATCATGGCCGTTAAGCAGCTTGATCAGGAGCCAGAGAGGCCATTCATGGGCGGCGACTCAGGGTCTCTTTGGGGCAGGGAGGAAAGGGCCAGCTCCACCCCCATCGTGTGAGGCCCCACATGTCTCACCACTGTGAACCCAAACCTGACTGTCCAGTGGCCTCTGGAGGATGGTGGCCACCAAGCCACCAAGAGGGAGCAGGTGGAGGGGCAGTACCCTTTCCCCCCTGCAAACCCAGTATTTTTTTTTTTTTTTTTGCTTTTTGGGTCACACCTGGTGATGCACAGGTGTTACTACTCTTGGCTCTGCACTCAAAAGTTACACCCAAACCCAGTATTTTAAATAGTACAGTTACCCTTGACATTTCTCAGGCAAATTAAAATTCAGGTGAGTTTTCTAGAATTAGGTCACCTCAACTGATCACCTTGAAACCTTTCATAGAAATGAGAGAGACTTAATTGGTGGTCATCTTTTTTATCAATACAAAATGAGAAAATGCAGAACTAAGAATTTATTGGGGCTGGAGCAATAGTACAGCAGGTATGGCTGACCCAGGTTTGATCTCCGGCATCCCATATGGTCCCAAAGCACTGCCAACGGTTATTCCTGAGTGCAGAGCCAGGAATGAATCCTGAGCATCATGGGGTATGACCCAGAAACAGCAACAACAAAAAATGTACCCAACTTAGTTTCAAAATTGTAGCTAATTGTAACCCTGACTTTCTGCATACATACACCTATACTTCTAGACCAGATGCCTGTGAGAGTGCTCTCATACCCCTTCTCTTCTCTGTCAAACTTTTAATGGACAGTGTTGTCAGAAGCATTTGGCTGTGAGCTCCTCTAAAAACAACTGTTGGTATTATTTTTAATATTTTCAGTGCCTGCTAGAGTTAAGTGCTTAGTGATTGTTTAACTCAACTGAAGGCACATTCTTGCCTTCAAGTAAGTTACAGTCTTGTGAAGGATGATTCATTTTCATGTGACTGCAGGGAAGTAATGTATAAGGTATAAAGAATTATGACTAGGGCCAAGGGATATGACTCAGAGGTAGAGCACATGCTTCTCTTGTGTTCCAATACATTGAACCCAGGGTTCAACACACACACACCCACCTCCCACTGTGTGCACACACAGATACAGCTAGAAAAGTAAGGAAGGGCCAGGCTTTCCTGGAATGCCTTGCTGAGGAAAGGTGGTCTTTGTTACTGGTGTAGGGACTGCACCAGAGTTTAAGTGGAAAGTCACAGATAATTGTGATTATTGTTGTAAAATAATCTCAGTAGCAGCAGTGTATGGGTACCATCTGAGGCCAGCTTGTTATTCCTGATGTGTTCTGTCCCTGCTCCTTGCCATGAATTCAGAGCCTAGAACAAGAAGTGGCTCAGGAAGAAGGAACAAGCCAAGCCTTAAAAGAGGAGGCTCAGCGGAGGGAGACGGTCTTGCAGCAGCTGCGCACTGCTGTGAAAGAGGTGAGCTAGTATCAACTAGGTCTCCTAGTACTGCCTGCACATGTGACTTCTGTGTTCCTTCCCTACCCTTTTCCCAAAGAGTTCCCATGTTTGAGAGTAGGTTTTTGGGTTTTTTGGGGGCAGACAAGTAGGACAATTTGCATTTCTCTATATACTAAGCCTATCTTAGAGTGACCCAGAAATACTCTTTTTGGTTGTGAACTCATTCTCTTTCTCCCTTTGTCTTCCTGCTGCCATAAATTTGGTGTTTCAGGGGAAGGACTCAAGAAAACTAAGAGTTTGGTAGTCCTCGTGGAGTAAACAATTGTCAGCAGGTGGTGGCCAAGTTCATTGGCTGAATGCCTAGGAAGAAGTCTCCCAGGACTCAGATTATCACATGGCCCAGCCCAGTGTGAGTGAAAGGCAGGGCCTGGAAGAGAAGTCTATTCAGTGTCTTTGAAACAGAGTAGAGGTAGGGAAGGAAAGGGACTGGGTTAAACTGTTCAGAGATGGGCTGGAAAGAAACACCAATTACACATAAATAACTAGTCTTAAGGTTTGGAAAGGAATATATTCTAGCACTATCCTCCAGGTCCCCAATTTTTCCAGTTCCCTTTACTCCCGTCTGTCACGTTGTCTTTCCCCTTTTATTCCTCTGACACATTCTAATCAGGCTGGCTGGTGGCCATTTTTGTCAGGGTGACAGGGAGAGATTGAAACCAGGGACTGCTCAGATTTCAGAGTTCCTGTTAAGCCTTCTCTAATAGCCTGGCTAACAGAGTTGGCTGAGGGACTGGCTTCAGATAGAGTTCCGAGGGGCGGGAGTATCTTCTTTAGTTCCTGAACAGAAACCTGGAGGCTAATGACTAAGAGGCTGCTGTAGAGCAGATTCCTCTTCAAGGCTAGAGCCCTATGGGCCCAACCAACCTGGAATAGGAACTAGGTGAAGGGGTACAATGCCTGGGACTTAGTCTTCCCTCCCCCACACCCGTATATGCTCATATTCACCTTTGTGCACAAATGCTCTGCCTTTCCATAAGCCTGGGCTAATGCTTGCCCATCTATCTGTTTAGCTCTCTGTGCAGAACCAGGACTTGATTGAGAAGAATCTAACACTGCAGGAACACCTGCGCCAGGCCCAATCAGCGTCTCCATGTTCACCAGACACGACCCAGCTGGCATTTGACCTACATCAGGAGTTGGCCAGTTGCCTTCAAGATCTGCAGGCTGTTTGTAGCATTGTGACCCAGAGGGCCCAGGGCCATGACCCCAATCTCTCGCTGCTCCTGGGCATTCACTGTGAGTCCTCAAGCTAGTCGGTGATCTAGGAGGCAGTGGCTTTCATTCTCCTCACTTTATTCAACTTTACCAACAGGGTTAAGTAGGCCTGGTCACTTTCCTTCTAAGTTATTGTGTTGCAAAGTCACGGTCACGGTCCTCCCTGGTCCTCCCTTTGTTCCTCGATTTTCTCAAGCGGGCCCAGTAACGTCTCCATCATGAGACTTGTTGTTACTGTGTTTGGCATATCGAGTACGTCACGGGTAGCTTGCCGGGCTCTCTGAGAGGGGCGACAGAATCGAACTCGAGTCGGCCATGTTGGCTACGTGCAAGGCAAACGCCCTACTGCTGTGCTATCACTCTAGCCCATTGCAAAGTAAATCCTTTAAATTTATTTTGAGAATAGATATCTGTACTGGTATCTGCATACAAGACAGATTGAAAGTGGACCTTGAGCAGCAAGGTAATTAGTCACTGTTACCATCTGCCTTTTTGTTTGGGACTACACATAGCAGTGCTTGAAGCTGCCCCTATTGACATGATCAGGGATCCTTGACAGTATTTGAGGGACCATTCAGTGCCAAGGATTAGACCCAACCTTTTGAGCTATCTCCCTAGCCTCACATCTGCATTTATTTTTATTTTGCATATGTGTGTGTAGTGCTGGGGATCGAACCCAGAGCCACACACATGTGAGACTTACACTCTACCACCGAGTCACATCCCCACCCCCTCTACCTGATTTTTGTTGTTGTTGGGTTCACCTGGCAGTGCTCTGGGCTTACTCCTAGCTTTGCTCAGTGATTATTTGTGGGGCTTGGGGCTTGGTGTAGTGCTAGTAGGGATCAAACTCAGTGTGGCTATGTGCGAGGCAAGTTCCCTACCACTCCAACCCCACTCTAACTACGTTTTGAAAAGTGTGTCATCCTAAGACCACTGACCTCAAGATACTACTGCCAGTCCATACTTTTCCCTCCAAGTGAAAGTGTCTCTTAAAAATTAGTGGTTTACGTTTTTTGATTTTGAGATCATACCTAGCAGTGCTCAGGAGCTACTCCTGGCAGTGCTCAGGGGACCATATATGATGCTAGGGATCAAACTCAAATTGGTCACATGCTCAGCAAATGCCTTTACTGCTATGCTATCTCTTTGGCCCCCTAAATCTTTAGATCTGCAGACCAGTGATTGAAAACTACTGTCCTAAATGACTTAAGAATGTTCTCTTAAAATGCTCTCTTCATAGCTACGCAGCATCCAGGAACTCAGCTAGATTTACAGAAGCCAGAGGTGCTCAGGAAGAAACTAGAAGAGGTTCAACAGCTGCGCCATGACATCGAGGACTTGAGGACCACCATGTCAGACAGATACGCCCAGGATATGGGAGAAAACTGTGTCACACAGTGAAAAATGCTGGAAGTGGGATGGGCTAAAATTAGCCCTGGAGGATCTGATCTTTGAACCCAGTCCAGCAGGTTTTGCCCCAACAATCCCTTACCTCTATTTGCTGCTATTCCCAGAGTAAAGGGTGGGAGAGGAAGTAAGAGCCTTTATCTGGGTAAAGACTGATTAGGGAAATCTGCCTTCATTTCCCTACACTGGCTTTGCCTTGTCAGATTGTACTTTTCCTTTCATACAAATTCATTTGCCTTTTGCAGGTGGACTAATATAAGTCTTCACAGACTGTTCCCGGCTCCAGGCCGTAAAAGGCAAGCAAGGCTACTCAGCTACCTTCTCCATCCTCTGAGATGGCTCCACGCCCATTTCCACTCCATACCTTGATCTGCTGATGCCCAGAGTTAGTGGGGTTTGGGAAGACTGCCAGTAGTTATGGCAGTTAGAAAATTCTCAGGCTCCATGTGCCAGCTTGTGGGAACTGAGCTGGCCTCCTAGTTTTTCTTAGGCCCAATCTCACTGCTTTTTCCTCAGGGCTCTTCTCACAGAAGCCTCAGGGTGATTATTCATTCATTAAAAAAGAACCCCCTAGAATTGGGGACTTGGAGACTATAGCCAGTGCTCCATCATCTGTGCTCAGATACTATTTTACAGTATCCTGTTGGAGATCCCATTCTCCAACCTACCTGTACTCTTGGGTTTTTGTCCTTCTCATTAATCTCAGGCCCCTTGGACTTAAAAAGTATTAACTTTGTCCTGGTTTAGACACGATTTACCCCCAGAATGTTTCATGGAAGCTATGAAACTGCTCATCCCCTGGCCCTATGGGGAAGGCCCATCCCCCTATTTGTGCCTCTCATGTTTGGGATGAGTGCAGAGGGTTGGTAGCTTTCCTTTTCTAAGGCTTCTTGAATGTTCAGAGACCCCAGGACATTTTTTTTTCTTTTTGGGTCACACCCGGCGATGCTCAGGGGTTACTCCTGGCTCATGCACTCAGGAATTACTCCTGGCGGTGCTCGGGGGACCATCTGGGATGCTGGGAATCGAACCTGGGTCGGCCATGTTGGCTGCGTGCAAGGCAAACGCCCTACCTGCTGTGCTATCGCTCCAGGCCCCCCAGGACATATTGACTGTAAGATACAGCTTTGTTTTCTGGGTTTGTTTTGTTTCTCTGGGACTTTTGGATCCCCTCTGTTTTCTGGTTTTCTCTTGCTTCCTTGTTTAGGGAGTAACACATAGTTTGTACCTTATTGTCAGACTGGCCCATGTTCTCTAGATCTGGAGTCAGGCCAAGGAGGAGCCTTGTGGATCTGGAGGAACAGTGAGTGGCTCACAAGCCAGAATCAGCCACTGAGATTCTTGCAAACATCCTGGACCTCACTCTTAGGCCTCAAGTGTTTTTACAAGTTTTGTGTTTTATTTATGGAGTGACTTATCCCTTCCATTCAGAGCAGCTCCACCCAGCCATCCCCTCAGCCTCTGGGTTCCTGCCTCCTAAAAACAGAGCACCTTGTTGGTCTCCACCCTGTGTTGGGAGCCCAGCCACCATGCTCACGGGTATGTTTCCTCATAAAGTTTATAAGCAGTTATTTATATGAATCCTTGTTATGTCAGCTGGTTTGTATTGCCTATTTTGATTACAAAATAAAATATTTAACAGACCTCCCCAGTTTTCCATTGCCTTCCGTTACCACCGCCCTCCACCCCTCATTTTGGCTTACTAGAGCTAAAACTTGAGTGTTTAGCCAGCTTCCCCAGACAACAGCAAGGAGGAGCCTTTGCAGGTCCAGCTTCATGTCCTGTTTAGCACTTCCACTTCTGTTCTCTGGGCCAAATAAGCTCTTCCCACACCACTTTCTATTGGGCTAAGCCGCCCTGAGTCATGAGCAAGTTTGTTAGGGGAAGTTTAGGTAATCACCTGAGAGAGGAAGTCGCCTGCCTCTACATTGCTGCTGTAAGGAAGTGGTTTCAAATTTAGAGCATTTCAGGCCACTGCTTCACAGCCACTCTCTAGCCCTGAACCTAGGGAGACTTCTGAGGGGTGTCCTGTCCAGCCCTGCAGACAGTCTCCAAAGTTGGGCCTGGTGTGAAATCTCCCGCTGAGCGGCAATTTAGGGCTGCTATTCTGCAGCATGGAGTTGGGGATGAAACTCGAGCACCTGAAGACTTCCGGTAGAACTCGAACTCGGGCTCAGGCTCTCCCAGGGATACCGTCTCTGCCTCCATCCTTCTCAGTGCTTGCCACCTTGGCTCCCATCTGGCTCCTCCAGGGTGTGGCTGCGCCTCCTGCCACCACCCACCCTTGTCTAAACCTGCCTCTCGGTGCAGAGGAACTTTGGGGGAATTCTCTAGTGGGGGCTGGCCCTGCCTTCATGCAGCTCTGGTCATGTGGCTAGGTGTGGGTGGCTGTGTCCCCACCCGCCTGAGAGTAAGAAAAAGGAGGATCCTGCAGGGAGGATGCCTCGCTGGGGACCGCCCTCACGTTTGAAAAGAGCTGAAGCCTTGAAAGCCTCAGGCGGCGTGGCAGTAGGGCTCGGTGCCTGGGCTATAAATCCCAGCAGGCCGCGGAGGCCTTTGCTAACCTTTGGGCTCTGTCCCCACCTAGAGATCCCAGCGCAGCCTCATCCTACCAGCCCCCAGGTCGGAAAAGGGGTGGGCGGTACCGCGCCCTCGGCGGGCGGGGCCGCCTGGCCCGCGGGGGAGGGGAGAGTGGGGGCGGCTGCGCGGGGCGGGGTCGTGTAGGCCCCGCCCCGGCCGCGAGACTGCGGAGCCGCCCATTGGTCCGGCGAGCAGTGACTCTCGGGCTGAGCAGGAAGGAAACCGCTCCCGAGCGCGGCGGCGTCGTCGTCTCCAGGCCGTGCAGCTCCTGTCGATCTGCCCCCACACCCGCAGCATGAGCGGCCTGCGTGTCTACAGCACGTCGGTCACCGGCTCCCGAGAAGTGAGTGCGCGCCCGCGGCGGCGCTGGGGGAGAGCGCGGGCAGCCAGGTCCCCAGCGGACCCAGCGCCTGGGACCCGCCCCCGGGGCTAGAGGAGGAGGTAGGGGTGGGGGGTGGGGAAGCGGTTTACGGCGCTGGGCACTGCCACCCGGGTGGTGTCTGCGAGCGGGCCCTGTGGCCCCAGCCCAAAACCCTTCATTGGGCATCCTAGATTCTCAGCAGCCCCAGCTTGAAATTCCCACGCCCATCCCCCGTCGTTGGAACACCTGTCCTCTGTCCACATCCCTTCTTCCAGCTAGGCAGACCCAGCCCACGGCCTTCCCATGCCTCACCTATCGTTGGTGTGTGTACCTGGGAGGGACCGGGGTGTCTCCTGGCCAGCCTCCACCCAGGCCTACCCAGCCTTTCCCCCCTGGAGCTCCGGGCACGCCCCATTCCGAACTTGATCCCACTTTTCGTGATTGGGGAGGTCTGTCCTCCCACACCACTGCTGTTGACTCCCCTTCCCTACACCTGGTATCCAGAGAGCCCTCCCCAGGGTGTGGATGTGGAGAATGCAAGCTCCCACTTAGTCCCTTCCCCTCTGTCCAGGTTCCCCCAACAAATCCTCCAGCCTCTTTACTCTAACCTTGTCCACCCTCTGCCCCCAGATCAAGTCTCAGCAGAGTGAGGTGACTCGCATCCTGGATGGGAAGCGCATCCAGTACCAGCTAGTGGACATCTCCCAGGACAACGCTTTGCGGGATGAGATGCGAGCCTTGGCAGGCAACCCCAAGGCGACCCCACCCCAGATTGTCAACGGGGACCAGTACTGTGGGGTATGGGCCAGGGACCGGGGGTGGGGGGAGTCCGACTAAGACAAGGCACCAGCACAAGGTGACCATGTCTTGCCTCCCTTCTCCAGGACTATGAGCTCTTCGTGGAGGCTGTGGAACAAAACACACTTCAGGAGTTCCTGAAACTGGCCTGATCCACGCGGCCCGTTGGACTCCATCTCCACATTCCCCTCAGCCATTGCCCGGCCATGAAGGACCTTGTGACCAACTCCCTGTTCCTCACCTTCTGACCTTGGAGTCCCTCCCCAGCCAGCCAGCCCCTTTCTAACTGTAGCCCCTTCTTCTCTGTTCAAAGGCAACATTCCCTACCCCCAACTAGTCTCAGAAACTGTCTTAAGCAACAGCCCAAAATGCTGACTGCCTCAGCCAGACCCTGGGGCTGCCACCCTGCCTGGCGCTGGCTGATGGGCACCTTTGTTGATTCCATTAGCCGCGGCTCTGCCAAAGGCCCTGCAATCCCTGCCCCGGGAGCCTCGTAGAGAAAATTAAATTCCATTCCATTGGTACTGTGTCGGTTTGGTGTGGCCTGGGCGTTGGGTTCCCTGCTCTGGACAGGGCCGGTGGATGAGATTGTGCATAGGCTGTGCTCCTGTGGGGCTAGCTGAGTTTGCCCATGTGGTGCCTGGGTGTGGCCGCGGATGAGTTTGCATCTATGTGCAGGTTTCTGAGCTTAGGGGAGGGCATCTCCTCCAGTGTCTGTGCATGGGACAGGGTCGGTGACATACCTGTGCCTTGGTGGGCTGCAGGGCATGCCTGTCAATAGTGAAGCCGTGCCACATGGCCGCCTGCCTGCCTGCCTGTGTTCCAGCAGATTGGCTTCAAGTGGGTGTGTCGTGGGAGAGGGCGCAGGCTGCAGTGTGCTCGTGGGGACAGTGGCTTTGTACAGTGTCGAGTGTCCCCCACTTGCTTGGGGTTCTGCGCCTTTCTGCACAGGGATCTGCTGGTCGCCCCCATCCAGGCTGAGCAGGGGCCAGCCTTGCTCTCACTGCAGGGGCTTAGCCCTTCTGGAGAGAAAGAGGAACCTAGAGGACAAAGACGCCGCTGCGGGCCCGCCAGCTGGGTCTCATGTTACGTAGGGGTGGGCTGGGCTCCGCCCCTTCCCTGGCGGGGCCGCGGAGCAGCACTGCGAGAGCTCCTGAAGCAGCTGGTGTGGGGGCGGGCGCTTTATTCAGGGCCCAGGCAGGGGTCGGGGGTTGGTAGTGTGTGGGCCTGGGGGGGGCCGGGGAGGCCGAAGCAGCAGCATGGCGTTGGGCACTAGGCCTGCATCCTGCAGTGTAACCGAGTGGTCGTCGTAAACCACAGGCGGGAACGTGCTGAAGATCTCGAAGGTCCCAGCATCCTGGTTCCTTGAGGCAGGGCAGAAAGGGTCAGGCCTAGACCAGGTCACAGAGCCCCTCTAGCCATCAGCCTTACTCTGCACTCACCTGGCCTTCGCCAGCAGGCCATGCACATCCCCAATAGTGTCCTGTGGTTGCATCATTAGCCGGAAGACCTTTTCACCATCCTCGGACTTGATACGCAGCAAGGATTGCTGGGGTGGGGATGACTCTGGCCACTCCTGGCTCCTGTGGGCCCAAAGGCGGTCAGTGCCCCTGACCCAACCCCTGGGTCCTAGCCTTTCCACTAGGTCCTCACCTCTGTCGCTCAGCAGCCAAGGCAGGCGTCTCCACCAAGATCTCTGGGACCGGGGCAGACAAAGAGCAGTAGTTCTGGAAGTCATTGATAGAGAGTGAACAGAGCTCTGAACTCAACCAGGGGTACACCGTGTTCCCCAGTCGTGACGCACTTTCTCCCTGACCAGGGATGAGTGACTGTGAGCCAGAACGGGGAGGGGGAGGGTTTCCAGATAACCTGGTCCCAGAGCAGAGGAAACATAAGGGAAACTTTGGGAGATCATTTCATTGCCTTCCCAGGAGCCGTACAAGATGCCCAGGCTGAAAACCTAACTTCACAGGGGTCAGGGAGGACTTCTCTCTGGGAGATGGCACTTGAGCTGTGACAGAAGGATGGGTAAGACTTGGAAGTGGTAAAGGAAGAGGGAAATTCCAGAGAGCCCCTTGACAAGTAGTATTTGGAAGTGCTATCAGTTCCTGTGGCTGAAGCTAGGAATCTGGTTGGAGTGGAAGGACAGGGGGTAAGGGGAGGACCAGCATTGGATGATAGGCTTTGAGTGCCGGATGAAATTTGGCCAGAGTGGAGTGGGAGAGATGGGAGCCTGGATCAGAAGGGTGGGCAGTGGGGATGGAGAAAAGGCATAAATTGAGGAGACCTGGGCTGACAGAAAAGTCAGGACTTGGACTTGAGTGGAGCCTGAGGCCTAGGAAGCAGGTCTTTGGAAAGCAGAACCCTAGGAGGAGCAGCAGGACGAGGAGAGCAGGGAGAGGGTGAGTGATATGAGGGAAAAGCCATCCAGGACCAGCTGGGAACTTTAGAGCAAAAGGGGTTTGACCTGTGACCCAAACTTTGGCATTCTCTCCTCTTAAAGCCACAATCCTGCTAACATAGTGGCTGTCAAGATTCTAGCCTGGGCGCTCACCCTTCATGTGAGACAGTGACTGTCCATCCACACATCACCTCTCCACCCACACCCGCCTCCAGCCCCCAGGTCTGTGCTCCTGGCTAACCAGTGCTGAGAGATACTGAGCCAAGTTGTAGGGAAACAGCCCATGACGACTGGGGAGCCAGGGCTGCTCACCTGCAGAGTGTCCCGGATGGGGCCTCTGATATCAACCACTTCGCCTTGCCGGATCACGACTTTAGGGAGTCTCTTCAGAAACTTCTCAGGGGTTAGCCTGGAGTCTGCAAGGAAGGTGTGGGAACCCTCAGCCTGGGGGCGGACTGTGGTGGATGGTGGAGGCGGCCTCCTCAAGCCTGCCCTGCACAGCGCTCCTGCCACCTGGCCCCACCATGGGGTTGAACTCACCTGCGTTCTCTGGCCTGTCCACGATCTTGTGAATCTTCTGGCCCACCACACGCCCCTCGCCTGGGAACGGGTCCAGCCCATTCTCTGGGTAGACCTGATGGCGCAGGTCACTCACCTGACAAGGGAGACAGCAGCAGGCCCAGCTCTGCAGCCTTGGCCCAAAACCTACCCCTGCTTGCCCAAACAGGGCTCCAGCAATGAGCTGAGGCCATCTCTGTTTGACTGATGAGGAAACTGAGGTCCTGGGGGAAAGCAGGAGGACTGAAATCCATGTAGCTTGCACCCACTGGGCTGTGCTCTTCCTGGGAGCACTTCTCCCCATAGCCAGTTGCAGCCGCTGTGCTGCCATCCTCATAGCCCCTCTCAGGAGCCACCCCTCTGCAATGCAGTGGAGCACCTCACTCATCCAAACTAGGCACACCTCCCAGACCCTGGCCTTGACACGGCCAGCCTCAAACGACATTGCTCCTGAGTCTTCCTGTTTTGCACACCTTGGTGGCACACACTCCCCTCGCCTGTCACTATGGGGCACACCACCCTCTGGGGGATGTGGCTTCTGGTGCTTCCCCCATTTCACACCCAACCCCCTACTCCCTTCCAGCCCAATCAGATGCCAACAGGAGTATGTGGGAGAAGCCAGGCCACTTGGCCAAGATTCACCAGGGACCCCAGGCAATGAAGGTGTCCTGCATGCTGGGAAGAGGGTTGGGTGGGGTGTGACCTCAGTGTGCCAGCAGGGGGCACTCTCTGCTCCCCAACCATAGTCCTAGGTTACAGGCACAAACAGCTCCATCCTCCTGGGATCCGCTGATGTGGGCCATCTCTTGCCTCAGAGTAAGGTGTGAGGAAGCTGTTTATCCCTGTCATCTTCCAAACCCCACTCGGAGTGGAGCTTTGAACAACCATCACCTTAAAAGGGACCCCATTGGGGTACAGGCGCCGGAGCTCTGAGGGGAAGAAGCCATCCAGTATGTCTCGGAGGCAGCGCTGCAGGTGGGGAGAGGAAGGATGAGGCCCCAGCAGTACCTGTGTGGAGCCCCTCATCCTGCTTTCTGTCTGGGTTGCAAGGCCCAGGTCCTGCGGTGACCCACACAGGAAATATTCAGAGACCCAGGACTTGTGTGTGTGTGTGGAGGGGGAGCACATCTGCCAGTTGTGCAAGTAACTGGAGGGACAAGGCTGGGGTAAGCAGGGGCTCACCACCTCCAACTAATGTGAGGAAACAAGCAGCTTATCTCCCCTCTTGACCCTACCTGTGTGGCTGGTTCGTGGAAGGGCCGAAAGGGCCCATCAAACATGATGAGGCCATTCCGGTAGAGCTTCAGCGGGATGGGCTCAAGGGTCCTGAACCGGGCCCCACCAGACACTGGAACCACCTGCGTTTCACCTTCAGCCACCAGTTCACTGAGATCCTTCAGACACACCAGCAGCCTGTCAAAGTCCACCTCAGGGGGCGCCAGTGAGTTCCCTAGCAAAGAGGAATGACACCCATGAACTTCTCAGTTCAAAGGCAGTGACCAAGCCTTTGCAGAATGAGGCCCACAGCCCCTCCTCCAGGGGGCACCTAAGTTCCGCTTTTAGTGCTAACTTGTGGGGAGGGAAGATCATGAACATGCCCAGGGTAACAGTTACCTCTCAGCAAGCACTAACTGTAGCCCTCATCCATCCTCCCTTCATCCTAGCACCCACTGTAATGGCTGCAGCCGTCCCTGTTTCAAAAGAGAAACCTGAGGGTTGGAGATGGTTAATGGCTCGCGTGGGGACATGGGGACAGGGACAGGATCTGCCTCCAGGTCTGTGTGTGACAGGCACCGGCTTGGCAGCTAAGAAGCACAGCTCTGAGCTGCTGGCTGTGGATCAAGGCTGAGTTCAGATCCTGGCTCCTCTGCCTGTACCCGTGACTTCACTGCAGGCAGGCACCGCTTTACCCGCCAGCTCTGTCTTCCAGGGCAGAGGAGAACAGTCTCTGCCTCCCCACATGGCAGCGAGGCTCCGAGATGACCATGTACGGGCAGCACATGGTCCATGTTAGTTACCATTACCAGCTCACACAGATGGGCCTCGGATTGCCCCGAGGCTGGGCAGGGGCTATTTACCTCCATCAAACGGGAGGAAACTGGACTTGCCCCATCTCCCACCCACTGGCACCAGCAGGAGAGGGCGTGTGGGTAGGGACAGACAGATGGCTAGCACGGAGGTTTCAGGTGGCTGCTGGGCAGAAAGATAAGGGTTAGACCTTGGATTGTGCAAATGTTTCTGGCATAGCCGCCCTGAGTGGCCCCTGTGAGCCTCAGCTCCTCTCTGAGACACGTTGCCAGTACAGGTGTGCATAAGCTTCAGAGGTTGAAGCTGGCCTGGGGGGACAGCTCTAATAACACGGGTGTCAGAAGGGCGGCGTGTGTGGGTGGGAAACGGTTCTGATTCCTCACGGAACCGGAGCCCCAAGGACGCCTCCTCCTAACCCCAGTGGCTCTCTGGGCCTTCTGGGATGCTGTTTTTCAACAAGACAGACAGGCTGCGCAGGATGTGGGTCCAGACTCTGGGGACCCAATTCCTTCCCCACAGAAGTGCAATGGCAGGGTGGGGAAGTACAGATGTGGGTGGCCTGCTTCCTGTTGCCTTTGTGGCTTCTCAAACGGTAGAGCCCCAGCTGGCCCTCCTTCTCCCAGACATTTCTTATTGAGGTAGAGGCTATCTGCACCACCTCCCTCCTGGGCCCCCTTGGAGTCCCTGGGATAAATGAGAAAGCAGAACATCCCGGACATCCCTGGGATGAGTCAGAACAATAACAACCACCTTTTTTTCATGAACGATTTTCAGAACACATGGGTGATCCTAGATAACAGGAAAGCTCATCTCTTTAAGTCCAGTCCCAGGGGCTGGAGAGATAGCACAGCGGGTAGGGCGTTTGTCTTGCACGCGGCCGACCCAGGTTCGATTCCCAGCATCCCATATGGTCCCCTGAGCACCACCAGGAGTAATTCCTGAGTGTAGAGCCAGGAGTAACCCCTGTGCATTGCCGGGTGTGACCCAAAAAGAAAAAAACAATAAGTCCAGTCCCAGTATCCTGACAGATGGGAAAGTGAAGTCAAGTGACTCAATCCATGGAATCCCCAAACAGGGTCATTAGGACCACTCTATCCGACAGTGCTGAGGGGCTATTCCAGGAGTGTGCTCAGGAGTGATCCTGGCGGTGCTCAGGGGACCATGGGCGTGAAACATGACTGCTGCCACCAGAGCAGCCAACAAGGCAAGTGCCTTACCCGCTGTACTGTCTGGCCCTGGATGCCAGGGCTGCTTCAGGGAGCAAAGGGGCATGGGGTATGGGCACGAGTAGGGGCAGAAGCAAACCCAGGGGAATAGCTGGATGCAGGGAATTAAGAAAAGCAGTTTGAGATTAACTAAAGGCCTTAAGCCGGCCTGGTGGACAGAGGCGAGCAGCGCAAAAGCACAGCTCAGGGAGGTGTGGCCAGGTAAGTAAGGTGGCACTTTGGCTTCCCTGGAAGGGCGATGACGGGCATCCTGCTCCTGCCCATCAGATCCAGCCCTGAACTAAAGAGGAGACAGCAAGCTGGTTCCAGGCTAAGCACCCGGAACTCTGTGCCTACCCCCTGCACACTCAGGTGGACACTGGGCCTTGTGAGGTGACAGGCCATGCTGCTTATAGGTCATGCTTATAGATCGATAACCATGCAGGCCCCCAGACTCGCTGGGGACACAGAACAGGAGTGTTTCCCTCTGAAGCCATGACTGCTTTAAAGGAAACATGGACGTGGGAGCTGAGCAACTTGGCCACCTCCCAAGGCCCTCAGACCCAGGCTCCCCACTGCAGCCCGGGGCTGCTGCGCTGGAGCTGTGTCACCTTGGCAGGTGGGCTGGCTTCTCTGGGCCTCAGCTGCTGCTTCTATAAATGCGGGCAGCAGGCCTCAGCTCACGGGCTGTTGTGGCGCTCAGGCTGCGGTTGTCATTGACACTCCACCCTCTGCCTCTCCGGGCTCACAGTGCTCACCACCTCCTCTGAGGCCTACCAGGAACCCTGCATCCTGAGGCCAGACCCAGCTCCTGCGTTCCTAGGCCCGGAGTGTGACTCCTTTAGCCTTCATCACAAGCTGCGCTGCTTTTGCCCGCTAGGCTTGCCAACCATGCTAGGCACTCACTGCACACGGGCCTGGCCCAGAGTGGGCGCCCCCAAGCAGGCGCTGGGCCATACCACCATGCTCTGCTGGGCCCTGCAAGTCCAGGTTCTCCCCCTGCCCGCACCCCCCCATCCTTATTTGAGTGTAGAAAACTAAGTGAGTGACAACTGCCCCACTGCTCTGGTCCAGAGCCTCTTCGGGTTGGCCCCTCCCCTGGTGCTGTGAAACAGTGAGCAAGGGGGCCTGCACCTCCTCACCTCACCCTGGCAAGAGCAGCTGAGCGGGACCCATGCCACTTTTCTCACACCTGGGCCACCTCCCCTTAGAGCCAGGCAGAGGTAGAAACCAGGTCAGAGAGTATCACTGCCTGTGCCACCCACCCCTGCTGTGGGGTGTTTGCCGACGACACATCTCTGTACAGAGGCTGCCCCAGTGCCCAGAAGGGGCCCCCTCCGCACCCCCTGCCCACTGCGTGTACATGCCCTGCCTGGGAGCCACATCAGGGCCAAATGGGCTGGTAAGGCCCAGGGTCTTGGTCACTGTCCATTCACCCCATACCAGCCCACAGGAACGCTCAGCACGCAAGATGCTGCTAGGTCTCCATGCCTGGGATCACTCTACATGTGAGCATGGACTCAGGGGCAAAGCTGTTTGCCCACATGGTGCCATCCAACCCAGACTTCTTCGCCTAGTTCATTTTCACTGCAGAGTCCAGAGCCCTGCCTAGTGCCTAGAGGCCTGCGCCCAAGAAATTGCAGGGGAACAGAACAGTGCAAGTTGGCATCAAGAAGCTGGAGGTAGGATTTAAAGTGAGCTTCCGAAGAGGGAAAGAAACGGGCAATGGGGCGGAGGGGGGGAGCAGGGGGGCAGAGAGTGTGGACACAGCAGAGGTGACCACAGCAGAGGTGGAGGTAGTGAGGCTGAGGGGACCTGCGGGCCTTCAGCTCCCTGAGGGTCCACCCAGATGGAGAAACAGGGCAGGAAGAGCTGGGGGGGAGGGGGGAAGGAAGGTGGAAGGAGGGAAAGCGGTGGGGGGGAGGGGGGAGCTGATGGCAGGAAGGGTGATAGAGGAGGGGAGAGTGGGACTTGAGAGAATGGGGAGGAGAAGGAGGAGTTTAGAGAGCTGGGAGAGGCAGAGATGAGGGAGGAAGGGGAGGAGTCCAGAGCAGCCGGCTGGAGCTTTCCTGCCTAAGGCTCACCCAAGCCTGGGTAGTGTGGCCAGAGCAGGGCTGAAGGCTGGACGGGATGGGAGCAGGCTCCAGCCTCAGGTCAAGGTCCAGCTACACTTTCCTCCACTTTCCTCCCCGGCCCCTGAGCCTTCTCCCTCTCTCCAGTGAGAGTCCTCCCTCCTACAACACCTGAATCAGCCCCAGTTTGGCCCCTCACAGCTACCCTGTTTCCTCCCCCAACCACTGCCCCTAGTTCCCACAGAGAAAGAACCATGCTGGCTTAGTGGGCCCAAGGGCTTTGGGGTCAGAGCATGCTGGCGAGTGGGGAACGGGAAGGAGAGGAGCAGGAAAGCAGTACGGGTCCCGGAGCAAGAGTACCGGAAGGGCATTGTCTAGCATGAGGCCAACCTGGGTTGTCTCCAGCATCTGATAGGGTCCCCGGAGAGTCCTGCCAGGAGCCCTGAGCACAGAGCCAGGAGTAAGCCCTAAAAATAGTGCCTGTGTGTATCTCCCCTCCCCCACCAAAGAAAGGTGGGGTGGAGAGAAAGCATGAGAAGATGCTAGAAATGAATTCACATATATCAAGCAGAAAAGCTCCATGTTGAAGACCCAAAAAAAGCAAAGGGAAGCAGCTGCACAGAGCGGGGGTGGAGGGGAGGGGGTGTAGCTGCAGGCATTAGCTCAGCTCAGCTCACAAAGCAGTGGGGTTGCTCCGCTGGGGGTGGCGCCGGCAAGAATCCAGAGAGCCAGGTCAGCAAACCATTTCCCCAAAGGGGCAGGGAGGCCCCATGGGCAGGAGGAAAATTCAGCTCTTCCTCTCCACCAGCTTGCAGAGTTCTAAGGCCTGTGTGTGTGTGGGGGGGGGGGGGGACTTTCCTGGCTCCCCCAGGCTCCCAGAGTGGTCTGTCTGCACCCAGGCCTGCTGTGTGGAGGCTGCAGGACTTTGGTGTTCCCTCCTCAACTCTGCCCATCACCCCCTGGAGCTCAGCATCTTCCTCACAAAGGGTCACACCTGACTCCCGCCCCCTCAGGTCAGTCTATCACCCAGGCCACAGACCTGCCTTCTAAAGCTCTCCCCACTGCCCCTTCTAGAACTGAACCCCCAACATCAGCACCCCCCCACCCCCCCACCCCCCGTGGCTGTGATCCCCTTCCAGGTGGGCACAGAAGTCTTGGTCCCTTAATTCAGCCGCCCGCTCTCCAGGCTCCAGGCAAAGGGAGTCACTTCCGCCTGCGTATGAAAGGCTGGTGTGGAAACACTTGGGAAGCTGGGGGTGGCTTGGATCAGTGGGAAGAGACATTTTTTAGAACAAGCAGTGAGGGCGGTACGAACTAAGATTCGGGGACCTAACCAGTGCTGCAGCTGAGGAGAAGGGACTCTCGGCAGTTGAGGCTGTTTTTATCAAGCAGGAAATGCATGAGTGCTGTCACCTTCCAGATTGTTCCCTTAGGAGACAGGCCCATGCTCCCAAGAGACTACACTGCCTCTGACTAGAAAACAGAACGAGCTTCTACTTGTTGGGCTGCTTAAGTACAAGGTCAGTGTCAGGTGCTCTGTGTCTCACCCACTGACTCCTCATGACATTTTTTAAAACTGGGGCCCACAAGCAAAAAAAAAAAAAGACCCGGGTTCGATTCCCAGCATCCCATATGGTCCCCTGAGCACTGCCAGGAGTAATTCCTGAGTGCAGAGCCAGGAGTAACCCCTGTACATCGCCAGGTGTGACCCAAAAAGAAAATTTAAAAGATGGGGGCCACAAGGCCAGAAGTGCAGTGAGAGGATAAGGACACTGCTTGTACAGACCAACCTGGCTTTGATTATCAGCACAGCATATGGTCCCCCAAGCACCACCAGGAGTGATCACTGCCTTGAGCACTACTAGGTGTGGTCCCAAAATAAACAGGAAGGCCATGTGGGGCCTAACTCGGAAACTGCGCCCCCGAAGTCCCTGGCGCCACCGCCCCCACCTCATTTCTGATAACTTGAGGCTCAGAGACTAGTTTTGTGCCCATGTCACATGTGTAATAGGAGGTGGAGTTGGTATGAGGGAACAGGTTTGACTAATCCCAGAACCGGGCAAAGTACTAGGAAGCAACCCCCATTATTCTCTGAGGAGAATGGGTCCTGCTTTCAGAAACCTCCAAGTTCATGGGACACATCCCTCTAGATATTAGTTAAAAACAAAAAGGGGTGGGTCCCACTAAAGGATGGCAAAGGATTCGCTTTAAATGAACCTTGAAAGGAAGTCTGAGGAGACAGCAGAATCCTGAGGTTCAGGGCCAGCTTCCAAGGGTCAGAGGCGTGCGTGTGTGCGTGTGTGTGTGTGTGTGTGTGTGTGTGTGTGTGTGTGTGTGCATGTGTGCAAGCGCACGTTATAGACCATGGTGCCTGAAACAAGTGAAGTCTTGCTAAACCTTGTCTCTGGAACCTTGACAATTAAGCAATCTGAGGGCATCAGAGGAAGAAAGTGGTGGCAGCAAGTTAGGGGTCAGTGACGGGGTCAAGCAGGAAATGTATGCATGTTGCCAGCTGAGGCCTTCCTCCTGTCCCTAGGTCAGAGTTAAGTGTGGGAGGCCTGGGCATACATGAAGTGGCCTTGGGACCGCTGCTGGCTAACAGGAAGCTGTTAGAAATTTTGTGAGGGGCTGGGGACAGACCCCCTGCTCTACCTGGCTTCCAGAACTTCATGGTTGTCATCCAGTCCCTCTCGCTATCCTCTGAGTCCTTGTGGTCCGAGGGCTCACCCACCCACAGCAGGCCATAATCAGCAAGAAATCTCTGTGAGGAGAGAAGAGGGTGGGGAGTTGGCACCATCAGCTCGGCCCCTTCTCAGGGAAACCCAGTCCCCAGTGTCAGTCCTCGGTGCCCAGAGCTCACTGGGCCAAAGGGCAGCCTGAGGAATGTGGCCACTTCTTGGCTCTTCATGAAATGGAAAGAACAGCATCTACTCTGCATATGCTCATAAGAAAATGCATGGGGCTGAAGCAATAGCACAGCGGGTAGGGCGTTTGCCTTGCATGCGGCCGACCTGAGTTCGATTCCCAGCATCCCATATGGTCCCCTGAGCGCCGCTAGGAGTAATTCCTGAGTGCAGAGCCAGGAATAACCCCTGTGCATTGCCGGGTGTGACCTAAAAAGCAAAAAAAAAAAAAAAAAAAAAAAAAAAAAAGTGCATGTCCAGCCTTTGCCAAGTATCTGGCACAGGAAAGAGCTTGCTGGAGGCTTGCATGGTGGCAGCAGGGGACTTTGTGGGTCTGGGTGTGCAGAGGGGCAGAACTGCCTGCCTGGACATGGTTGCCCATGCACAGCTCCACACCTCATCCTAGGAAAACTGAATTGTCTATATCCTCAGCTCAGTTTCTCAACGCTGCTTCCTCAGTTCCTCAGTTCTGCAGCCCAAGGACACTGCCCGTTGCCTAACCCGGTGATAACACCCTGTCTTCATCTCTTACAACATGGCCTTCCTTTTCAGTTTTTTCCACAGGTTCCCCGTCTTCTACCCAACATTTGACATGAGGGCCACGGGGCCCCCTTCACTGATGGTTCTCATCCGGTCCCAAATAGCTACAGACCATGCCCCCAGCTGGACTGAATGCAGACCTCTCCCCTGAGAACCTGTCATCTGTACTTTAGTGTCTAACAGACACCTGAAAAGCAACTTACCCCAAACTGTTCTGACTCCCTGCTTCCAGCCTCCAAATCTCCTGTCTCAGAGAACAGCACCCCCTCTGACCAGGCCTCACCCCTGACCCTCTCTCCTCTGCCCACTCTACTCCACCCTCCCACTCCTTTCTAGGGTTCCCCATTCTCTGTAGCACAAAACAGCCCTTCACGACGGCAAGGCCCTGTGATGTGGTCCCTTCAGCCCCCACTGCCCCTCTTGCTCCCTACAACCACCCACAAGTTGCAGTTCAGTGCGGGGAGGATGAGTGCTTCCCTGGCCCCCTCCTCATCCTCATGGGCTTTAGTCCAGTGCCACCAAGTGACCCCAACTCCTCTCTTTTCAGGCACACACTTCAGCATTTTATCTCATCCCCAGAGTTAACTGGGCCAAGGGGGTAGCCTGAGGAATGTGGCCACTTCTCGGCTGGGTCTCTTTCTGTGATCCTGTTTGCATCTCGCCCCACACCTCCCGTCCACTCCAAGAGGTGGGGGGCTGCCCCAGTGCCTTGCAGGGTGCTGGCACACGCGAGCAGTATGGAATGAGTTGACTTCCACCATTTACGAAATAATACACAGGTGAACGCTGGGAAGGTGGGTCACAGCTGCAGAGGCCACAGCCCCAGTGTTCCCAGTGGCCCGGGAGCAGCTATGTTTATTTACACCCTACCTTTCCCGTGTCCCATGGGGAGGGCCCACAGCTGTGGCTGTGGCTTGGGGGTTGCTTCTGTGGTCAGATTAGGGCTTTGGAAACCAATTTTGAGTGGAGAAGGGAAGTTAAAGCTCAGAAAGCTCTAGCAGAGCCAGTGGGGAGCGGGGAGCTTCCTCCCTCGCTTAGGGTCCCTTCAGTTCAGGCCTGGCCATATGAATGGGGTGTGGGCAGGAACAAGAAAGGTGGGTAACACAGGTATGGGGAATGGAGGGTAGTTAAGATAGAGGAGGGTGCTTTATCACATACTAGTGTAATTGATCACTCTGAACGTGAACTGGGTGTTGAAAGTAGGTAAAGGGATATACATGATAATTCAGCATCTGTATTGCAAACCATAATGCAGAGAGAGAGGAAGAGAGAGAGAGAGAGAGAGAGAGAGAGAGAGAGAGAGAGAGAGAGAGAGAGAGAGAGATTGGTGCCTGCCATAGAGGCAGCAGGAGTGGGGGGTGGCTTGAAGGGATAGGAGGGAAACTGGGGACACTGGTACTGGAAAATACATTGGTTGGAGGGATGGCTATTGGAAAATTGTATGACCGAAACGCAATCATGAACAGCTTTGTAATGCTGTATCTCACAGTGATTAAATTAAAAAAAAAAAACAGAGAAAAGAAAAAGGAAAAAGAAAAGTGGGTAAAATAGGATTAGCTTCTGCAGCCGGGAGCTGTGCTGGTCCTGGGAGGGCAGCAGTGGACAGGAGAAAAGTGGTCCTCCTCTCAGAGCTCACACCCTACAAGGAATGAGGCGTAAACCCAGAGAACACATAGGGCCAGCCAGAGATGGGGTGGGGGGTCACACTGTGGAAGGGCCCTCACCTCAATTTGACACTGAAGTTGTTCTGGGGGCCACCCCTGGGGTGCTCAGGGTCTACACTAAGCTCTGCACTCGGAGATTTTTTTTTCTTTTTGGGTCACACCCAGGCGATGCTCAGGGGTTACTGCTGGCAGTGCTTGGGGAACCATACGGGAAGCCAGGGATTGAACTTTGGTCTGCCGCTTACGAGGCAAATGCCCTACCTGCTTATGCTATCGCTCCTGCCCCTCAGAGATCACTTCTAACTGGACTTGAGGGACCATATGTGGTGCTGGAGATAAAACCTGGATCAGCGGCATACAAGGCAAGTGCTCTACCTGCTGTTCTATCTCTCTGGCCCTGACACTGAGCATGAAAGAGAGCTGGTGATGTGGGGAGTGGAAAGAACACTGCAGGTGAAGGAAGGAGCAGGGGCCAAGGTGCTGAAGAGTGATGTGGGCCGCAAGGCAGAGGGGGCCCTGGATGAGGAGCGGGGAGGGGCAGCAGGACCGCCCAGCCCGAGAGCAGGTGTCCCAGTAGCAGCCCACCCCCACCCCGCACCACCCCACTAAAGCTGGGCAGGAAGCTGTTTGGTGAGTGCTGGGAAGTGGGCAGACTGTTTCCGGGGGGCAGGCAGCCCGCTGAGGCCTCTCACCTCCATCTCCGCCACCTGTTTCTGCAGTTTCCTGCATGTGGTCTCCAGCTCCCGCTGCTTGTAGGCGGCTGCACCATTGGGAAAGACGGGAGGGTTCCGCAGCCAAGCGTGGAAGCGGCCAAGCCACCTCTGCCGTGGGTCATCCCAGAGGCTGTCCCTAGGGAACTGCCTCAGGGCCTCTGCCCCCATAGAGATGCTGCTGCCCCTCACCCCGAGAAGAGGCTTCAGGGATGCCCTGTTCCCTCCTCGTACAAGGGCAGGACCCCAGGAGGCACAGGCCTGGCTGTCACTGCCCAGACCCCACCCAGGCCTCAGCTCCATGCTCAGGCCACCCAGAGAAGCCAAGCCCTGTGGAGAGTGCCTCTTACCCGGGCTCCCCTGAAGGGTCTCCACTAATTCTTCCAGGGCCTTTATCTTCTTGTCCTGCAGTAACAAGATAAGTAGGAGGCTCCTGGAGCTCAGGGAGCCCTTTCCAATGGAGGAGACTAAATGTGGCCTCACCCACACCTGGGCACAACACCCCCCCCCCCACACACACACACCCACACACACATATACACACAGCCTTCAGGAGCCCTCCAAGTGTGAGGCTCTGGATGCCACCTGTGGAGGTCAGGGGGCTCAGCTGTGAAGATCCCCCTGCCCTTAGTCCCGTTATAAGGAGCCAGACCAGTCAGAGGCCACAGGGGCCCTCAAGTTGGCTGGTTCGGTGGGGGAAGATGGTTCTAGAACCCATTCAACCTGGCCTCCCCAGCCCATGGCCCTCTGCTCCTCAGACTGGAACCTGGCCTTCTCTCCGCCGGACTCCCACCTTGTTCAGCAGCTCTTCACTCTGGATTTTCACCCTCCATTCCAGTTCACGTAAGTTCTTCACCATGTTGCCCATCGCCTCCGAGTTCTGATCCATAGGGACTGACAAGCAGACAGAGTCCTGGAGCCCAGGCCGGGGCTAACGGTTAGGGGCCCAGGGGAGGGGAGAGGGAATCCCAAGTGTACAAATGAGAGTACCAGGTGCTACCACAGAGAGAATAAGAGCCACTCTAGCACTTTCCACGAATCAATTCCCATGCTCATCAGGGAGGATGGGCTTCAGGAACAGGCAGAGAACTTCAGGCTTTTGTCCAAGTGTACAAGTAATTGGCGCAATGTACTGATAACTTTGAGCATTATCCAAAGTGCACAATCAATCTCATGGGCCCCTGAATCCTGCTGACAGTGGCCTGGGTTCTTCAAAGAGGCATCATCATTTTTCTTTTTCTTTTTTTTTTTTTTCAACTCTATATCATTGATCAGAGGGTCTATCTTTATTCAAATGCCATGCTGTTTTTTTGTTTTGTTTTGTTTTTTTGTTTTTAAAGTTGCAAGTCTTTTTTTTTTTTTGCACTTTTTATTTATTTGTGTGTGGGGGGGGCAGCATCATTTTTCAAAGCTAGGGACACTATAAAATATGTCAATCTAGCAGTGCACAGCCTGTGAATAGGACCCAGATCTAACGAGAAAAGCAGTACACTAGTTCTGGAATGTGAGGAAAGGAACATATGAAGGAGATTGGTATTGCTAAGTGTCTGTATCCTTAGGTGTGACTGTGAGATTGTGGTTGTGTCATTTTTGGGTTTTTTTTTTTTGTTGTTGTTGTTGTTCACACTACTCAGGGCTGATTTTTAACTCTGCACTCAGGGGTCACTTCTGGCAGACTCAGGAGACCATATGGGTCAGCTGCATTTAGACAATACCACTGTACTATTGCTACAGCTCTTGGCTGTGGAGTTTCCTATTCTTAGGAGATGCACACCGAGGTGTCTGCAGGTAAAATGCCATACCAATTCAATTCATTTCTAAATGGTTCATGAAAAAATATGCTTCAAGGGGATAGAAAATACAGTGGGAGGGCTGGAGTGATAGCACAGAGGGTAAGGTGTTTGCCTTGCATGCGGCCGACCCAAGTTCGATTCCCAGCATCCCATATGGTCCCCTGAGCACCGCCAAGAATAATTCCTGAGTGCAGAGCTAGGAGTAACCCCTGTGCATCGCTGGGTGTGAACCAAAAAGAAAAAAAAATACATATAAGTGGTGAAGGCACTTGCCTTGCACTCACCTGACTGGAGTTCTATCCCATATGGTCCCAAGCACCACCAGGAGTAATTCCTGACTGCAGAGCCAGGAGTAATCTCTGAGCATCACAGGGTGTTGACCCCAAAGAAAAATGCTTATAGGGGCTGAAAAGATAGTATCACAGGTAGGACGCTTGCCTTGTACATGGCTGATTCGGGTTCAATCCCCAGCACCCATCTGGTCTTCCCTGAGCCTACAGGAGTGATCCCTTTGTGTAGAGCCAGGAGCAGTCCTAAACACTTCCAGGTGTGCCTCCGAAACAAAGAAACAAAATAGGTAGGCTAGAGGGACTGGAGAGATGGTGCAGGAGGTAAGGCACTTGCCTTGCCTGTGGATGCAACCCTGGTTGAAATTCCCAGTACCACATATGGTTGCCTGAGCACTGCCAGGGATCACTTCTGAGCACAAGGCCAGGAGTAGGCCCTAAATACTGTCAAGTGTGTTCCAAACTACCCCCTATAAATAAATTTATTCAGTAATCTAAAAACAAAATAACAAATCATGATTAAGTAATGCTAGGTGAATTTGCATTTAGAAATTAATGTAATATACCATACTGACAGACTAAAAATATGTATGGCTATTATATATGCTTATTAAAAATATATCTGGGCATTAGCCCACCCTCACATGAATTGATATGCAAGTTGTATATATCTAACACCAAAACACAACTAAACAAGGTATTAGAACAAATACATTATTATCTAGTCCTTACTCTGGAGAACCTGACAGGCTACCAAAAGTATCCTGCCCACACGGCAGAGTCTGGCAAACTCCCCGTGGCGTATTCAATATGCCAAAAACCAGTAACAATGATGGGTCTCATTCTCCTGACCCTGAAAGAGCCTCGAATGTGGCACTTTTTAAAATCTCAGGGCTAGGATGAAGGACATTACTGGGGCCTGCTCGAGGCAATCGATGAACAACAAGATGACAGTGATACAGTGATTAGCACAAAACCCTTACATGTGCAATAACACCGTGAGTCTACACTGAACTGAGAATGTCTTGGAGTTGGTGGAGAAACCATCCAGAAGCTGCCTTCATAGGACTCCTGAGGATGTGGGATGATAAATCACCCCTGACGAGCTGAGATGACTTCAAACATTTCTGATGAGTTGTGGTCAAAAGCCTCTTAAAGGAATACAAACATTTGGGATTGAAGCACATGGACCGTGGCTGAGCTCACTGAGGCAGCATGGAGACAGGAGAACCCAGCGAGAGGAACATGGCCCGGAAAAGCCAGAAGAGCAGAGGAAGGGAGGAAAGAGCAGGGAGGGGAGCCGTGCGGGAGAAAGGTGTTTTGGAGACCAGACCTATGAGGTGAGGGGGCACGGGTGGAGTAGCAGAACGCTGCTGTGCAAAGAGGCGCAAGACAAGTCCTCAAGGATGACCACATTAGGGACTAACATTGGCTGAGAGCAGAATGAAGCAGGGAAGAGGCAGAGAGAGCACGGATGGTCGTTGCACGATTGAAAATGTCCCTAGTGGAGGTGGAGGAGAGCCTGGCTGTGTGTACAGGCATGGCTATGGACCACAATTCCCCAGGTGTCAGATGGAGGGTGAGTTTGGTGGAGGACTACCTTGGACATGCTGATGCAGGTGTTTCCATTCCCATTTCTAAGAAATGGAGACAGGGGCTGGAGCGATAGCACAGCGGGTAGGGCATTTGCCTCGCACACGGCCGACCCGAGTTCGATTCCCAGCATCCCATATGGTCCCCTGAGCACCGCCAGGAGTAATTCCTGAGTGCAGAGCCAGAAGTAACCCCTGTGCATCGCTGGGTGTGATCCAAAAAGAAAAAACAAAAAAAAGAAATGGAGACAGAGGTTGTGCACTCAAGATGCCCCAGCCAGGGGTAAAATTCCCACCTCATCCCGCTTTGCTCCAGGTTCTCAGACTCAGCCCCTCATGCTGTACTCAGCCCCCCTACCAGTGCAAGCTTCCCCTTCGCCCAGGCGCGCTCCATCCTGCTACCTCTGGGTAGCAACCCTCCCACTCCACTCTCCTTCCTGACTTGCAGGATCACCACAGCCCTGAAAGGATGGTGTGTGCCAGGCCAGACTCCTCAGGGGCTGCAGGACCTGGCCTAGAACCAGGCGATGGCAGGAAATGGATGACTGGAAGCTGAGTTCTAACTCCAGCTTTATGGCTCTGTGACCCAGAGTCCTGAGTCCACTAATGGGACTGATGGGGACTCCATCTCCAGCCTTGTCTGGGGTTCGGTCGGACTCCCTGAGCTAATGGAGGGGTTAGGACAAACCAGGCCCTGGACAGGTTTGGGGGTGCAGACACATGGTCACTGTCAGCCAGCAGAGAGCCAGTGCCATCTCTCATTGGACCTGGCCTTTCTGCTGTTGGGGACCCAGACACCCCTGTTGGTCTTTGCTCTCACCTTGCCTGCTCACAGGGGCCCCTAAGACACCATAGCAGGAAGGGAAAGTGATGCTTTCTTCTGAGCCATTCAGCGTGTTCACCTCATCTTCTGTAGACAAGAGTGCATAGGTCACTGGTGAGGTGACCACAGGAAAGGGGGCCCCGGGCCCTGGTCAGAGTGAAACCACCTGTACTCTGTCCCCCAATGCTAAGGATGTCTAGAAGCAAGGATTCAACCAATCCAACTCCGGGGGCGGGGGGGAGAAGCTGACTATTCAGACTCCAGGGATGGGATTCAAAGGCATGAGCCTGAAGGGTTAGGGGAGGTGAGGAAAGTCCCAAGGGAGGGGGATTTGTGTCTCTGGCAGGACAACTTCTCAGTCCTTTCATGGGGTTCCTTTTTACAGTCGGTGGGGGGTTCAGAAATTCAGGGTGATGGCTGCTAAAGTGGGGGGTAATCTTCTAATTCGAGCATGGCCAGGAGGACGCTCTGGGCTCAGGAGGTAAAAGGGTGGGGGGAATGAGACGGGGCATCAGCCCTGGCTGAGGGTCTCACCCTCTCTTCATGCACCACTGCCAATAACCCTGCTGCCAGGCAGTGCGGGTGAGTGGGAGCCCAAGGGAGGAGCCCACACTTACCAGCACCGTGGATTTTAAAGCTTCGTCTCCTGGGAAACCGGGAAAGAAGGGGAAGGAAGACAAGTAAGTTAGGAACCCCTGGATCATGTCAGGGGAAAGGCTCCAGACACCAGCCCCCCAAGGAGCCTAAGGAGAGTGGGGCTGGGCCTCTGCCTCCTGAGGAAAGCCACCTCCAAATCCACCTCTGGCACAGGCAGGCCAAGGTTGGAATTATTTGATGCCTCCCCAGTGGTGAGGATGAGCCAAGGGCCATGTCTTGGGTGGAAGGTGACATCCATTCCCAAACCCAGGAGCCCAACTCTAGCTCTGCTCTGAATAGCTGCGGGACTCCAGGCCTCTCACTTAACCTCTCTGCATCTCCTTCGCCTCTGTGTGAGTCAAAGTGATGTTCTGGGGGCTGTAGCGATAGTACAGCAGATAGGGTGTTTGCCTCACAGGCAGCTAACTCAGATTCAATCTCCAGCACTCCATATGGTCTCCCAAGCACTGCCAGGAGTAATTCCTGAGTGCAGAGCCAGGAGTAACCCCTGAGCATTGCTGGCTATGAACCAAAAACCAAAAGAAAAAAAAAAGGTGATATTCCGAAAAGTATGGATAGGTCGGAAAATATTGTAAAAAGGCACATGGCTAGGCAGGTAAGATTCCCATCCTTTAGTCATCCTTGCCTATCACAGAAAGGCACACTTCAATGTTTGTGGGGTTCATACAGTCAAAGGGCCCTGGATCTCAGCAGGGGGATCAACAACCAGCTCCCAGAAAGTAGAAAGAGAAAGAAAAATTGGTCAGAGAGAGAAAGCTACCAGACTCCTCAGTATTGTCCCTAGGAGGCTAGCAGTAATGGGGGCCAGCTGAAGTGATAATACAGGCCTTGTACATGGCCAACCTGGGCAACCTGGCATCCCATATGCATATGGTCCCCTGAGCACCACCAGGAGTGATCCCTGAACACAGAACCAGGAGTAAACCCTGAGCATTGCCAGGTGTGGCCCCCAAAAAGACCAAAACTACAAAACAAAAGAAAAGGCTAGCAGTCATCCTCGCTGTGGGGGGCCGGGGTGCTCTGCCCATGTAAGGGTGTTCCTTACCATGAACTCACAGGCTCTGGCTGCAGGGGAGCTTTCCGGGTCTTACCAAGGGAGGCCAAAGGTGAGCTCATAGTTCCACTTCCAGTTCCTGTCAAGGACTCCCTAAGAAGGAAGAAGTAAGTTCTGGGTTCATAGGGGCCATGGCTTCAGGGAGTGGCCTGAGATGTCCTCTCACCCAGCTCCTTTTCCCAAGGAGCAGCACTTTCTGGCCATGTTCCTACAGAAGTTTCTACAGGTCGTTTGGCATCTGGATCCCTGCGCTTGCTGCCCACCTGCTCCTCCTGCTACACGTGCTTCTGCTCCAGTCCCAGAGGCCTCCAGATGCGGTGATGGAGCAGAGTGGAGTGGGAATGGAGGGGCAAAAGCTTGGGGCTTCCTCAAGTCTTAAAGTTTGGACAAAAGGGAATGGAGATTGAGTTCAGTTTTAAATTGCAATGATTCTCAAGGTATTGAAGCCTCCATAAAACCCCAAAAAGGATGGGCTCTGGGAGTGGAGACAGCTCAATGGGGGCTGGGGCGTATTCCCATGTAAAAGGCCCACGTTTGATCCTGTCACCACGTGGTCCCCTGAGCACAACCAGGAGTAACTCCAGAGCACAAAACTAGGAACAGCACCTGTGCACCTCCAAGTGTGCCCCCAAACCTCCCAGAAAGGGGGGGGCTTTGGAGAGCTTTCAGGCAGGTGGTCATGTATAGATTCAAGGAGGTGTGGCATGCCTGGGGAGGGCATGGAAGCTCTGCACCTTTCCCCACACCTTTTTTATTTGTTTTTGCTTTTTGGGTCACACCCTGCGATACACAGGGGTTACTCCTGGCTTTGCACTCAGGAATTACTCCTGGCGGTGCTCAGGAGACCATATGGGGTGCTGGGAATTGAACCTGGGTCGGCCACATGCCAGGCAAACGCCCTCCCCGCTATGCTATTGCACCAGCCCCCTCCCCATATCTTTTGGGCATCTCTTCCCAATGGCTACTGCGATGATGCTTGGTAATCAATTGGCAATCTCATGAGCACATGAGCTGGGGAAGGCACTCTAGCAAATGAATCCAACTAAGAAGTGGGTTACAGGAAGCTCTGATTAACCTCTAGTTAGTAACAATCTGGGCACCTGGGCATCTGGCCCTGAAGCAAAGGGTGGTCTTGGGAGACTGAGCCTTTACATGTGGATACTATATCTAGGTGAACAGTGTTGGAACTGAGTTGACCATTCAGACAGGCTGCTGTGTCAAATATCTTCTTCCCGTGATGAGCTTCCACCCACCCCAGCACTGGAACAGGGTCTGACAGCCCCACTGAACTTGGTCAGGATAGCAGAATGCAGGCTCTGGTCACAGTCTACCACCCACCAGTGCAGTCCAGGCCATAGAGATGGCAAAAGGAGCCAGATGGCCCAGTGGGAGAGATCCAATGCCTCACATGTGCCTCACTGGGTGCAACCTTCAGTGCCACACACACACACATACACACACACACATACACACACACACAGAGGCTGGGATAGCAATATCTCACTATAGTAAGGTAGTGTTACTGAAAGCAGTCAGGGGTAGCACATATAACATCCCTAGCCCAGTATCTTGCACACAAGCAACACCTAAAATAGTGAATCATGGCTGTGGTTGTGTTTCTATCTGACACATGTTTCGCTTCCTTCCCTTTCCTTCTCAAAGGTCAGTGCACACCAGGGACATAGACAAAGGTCGCTATGGTATTCTGTAACCAGTATGCTATATGACTAGTATCTAGAAATTCTAGGGCCAAGGACTTCTGTGAGGGCTTGAATCAAGTCTCTGTTCCACTCTGGAAATAAATGTTTCTGGTCCTCACCAAATCAGATATCCAACAAGGGGTTCTGGATGCAGCCCCGAGTTCATTGAAACCAGGTGCTCACTCTAGGCACCCTTCCCAAGGGCCAGACGCAGAATGTCCTCACTCTCACCATCCATTCTCCCACTCTCCCTGGCCTGCCCCAGCCCCTGCCAACTTGTATGGGCATCCTCCTGGTTTGTGTGCCCAAGCATGCCAGTCGCTCATGGTCTCATGGTTCCCTTTGCCAGTCTGTACATGCTGTCAGAATCCAAAGTATATATATTTTCTCCTTTCTTTTGTCTTTTGTTTTCTTCCCCTCCCTCCTCTCTTCCTTTCTCCTCTCTCTTTCCTCTCTCTCTCTCCCCTCTCCTCTCCCCCGCCCCCCTCATACTTTAGGTCTCTCAGGGCTACTCCCAGGGCCTTATGAGGGGCTCCCTCCCAGCAGTGCTGGAGGACTATGCAGTGCTGTGGTGGAACCTACACCCCCTGTGAGCAAAGCATGAGCTCCAGCCTTCGAGACACCTCCGAAACATCTTAACACAGATGAACACAGTGACTCCTGCCCTCACCCTATGTCCCCAACCACCGTCCACCCCTACACACCTGAGCCACTATGACTGTCAAACCCAAACACTCCAGATCTTTGCACCCAGCCTGGAACCCCGTCCCAGGATAGTTTCCCCTCTTCTATCCCTCAGTTTAATTCCTCTCTTTTTTTCTCCCCTAGTTTATTTTTAAATTATATTTTCACTTTTTTACTTAAAATTATAAATTCAAGGCTGGAGAGACAGTAAAGATAGTACATAAGTTCCTCCCACCTCTCTTCTTAATAAAATCCACCGCTCCTGGCTACATTTTTTTCTCGCTCCTTCCTACCAAAACCTGCAGGTTAAACTCTCAGCATCTCACACAGAGCTGCTCCTGACCATGCCACTGTTGGTCACCTGAGAAGCTATCCATATCCTTCATTGGGCCTGTGACAGTGGCTGCCAACTGGTTTCCAATAGCGAAGATTAATTTCTCTACGGAGTTACAAGAGACCCTGTGAGGGTGACTGCGGTCTCTCCCCATCAGTCTGGGGACTGCTGACTCAGGAGAGAGCCATATTAACTTCTTTCACTCTGGGGCATCCAGGAGCACTCTGTCGTCCCCATCAACTTGGGGCACTGAGTAGAAGACTGTGTCCTGTGTCCCTACATATCCGGGACCCAAATCAGGGCGGTGTCTAACACCATCCTTCATCACAATCCTCCGCCTATTAGTTCCCCCACCCCACCTCATTCCCCCAGGTCCCAGTATTGTCCAGCACTGACCGGGCTCGGCCGGCTGCGTGCCTTCAAGACCTAAATCCACCGCTAGAAGCGCTCAGGGAACGACTTCTGTGCACCAAAATTCACCCCGGGATGCCGGGCGTCTCATCCTGTCGCCTCCACCCTTAGCTCTGGTGAACGGCAGTCCGAATCCACTATCATCAGGGCGCGGAGAGCCTTTTGGGAATGCTGGTCCTTGGGGCTCGTGAATCCTTGGGTCTCTGGTGATCTAAGGCCTCAGCCTATGAGGGGGAATTCGGGTTCAGAAAGGCTTTGCTGGGGGGCGGGACTCACCAGACAGAGCCACCGAGCCGTCCGGAGGCGCCGCCATCTTGTTGTCACGCGGTTTC